ATCTCTTGTATGGTTCCCAAACTGTGGTACAGGTACGACCGATGATACACTGGCTCTCTCTAGTGGTCAAATTACTATATAATAATACATACATTTACTGTGGCCAGAAATGTAGCTGCCTTATAATTCAGTAAATTTGCAATATTTATTACTATTTGAATATTGTCTATTTAACAAATGCTTCAAACATGACATCAAATAGGTTTGTGATATCCTTTTTAAGCAAATGTCTATGCAATGTTCTTACTTAGATGTCAATTATTTTTTGCCATTACTCTTCCCAGCTCTCTTCCACTGAGCCACAACCACGTCCGCTCTCCCGTGCTGCTTCTTTGGGGCGAGCGTGACGCGTTTTTGGAGCAGGACATGGCCGAAGCTTGTCGCGTTTACATCAGGAACCACTTCAGACTGAACATCATCTCCGGAGCGAGCCACTGGCTGCAGCAAGACCAGCCCGACATCGTCAACACGCTCATATGGACTTTTCTGAAGGAGGGAGAGAGCCGCAAAAGCTACAGGAACTAATACATCTTTTGCCTCTCGTTCACCTTTATTTTTATTTTACTTTGATTGCCTGGAATATGCCTGTGATACCAAGCAACATAGTGATAATGCACTTGTGGTGGACATGAAGGAGGTGCATGAAATTTTAAATAACTTAAATTAGAACAATTTCAAAAAGAAGATATTGTGTGATACAGGACACAAAACTAAATGATGGATTATAATGGACTGGTATGAGACATGAGGTTAGAACATAAACTTGATCCATGGGGGGAAATAGACTATAATATATATTGCCATTGAGAAGAACCTACATTGATTTAGGTTGTATCAAAATATACACATAACCAGTTGTTTTTAGGAACTGCTTGAATTGGTTTGATGAAACTATAATAATTGCATAAGTCACAAAACCTCTTAAACCTTATAATGCATTGAAACCACTATTTGCGTTTATCACAACATTTTCGCATGCCTTTTCTCAATTTGCAGCTCCTTCACAGCCTCCTTGTTCACTTTTTATTATATCTACATCTAAAGAAGTCACATTTTGGAGACAAGCACACACGCTCACTGGAAAAAAACACTGGACTCTAACGAGATGATTTTTGCACATTTGAAGGAGACATGTTGTGCTTTATTTGGCTTTTTAGATGCATAAAACACATTGATATTTCAAGGTTAAAAATGCACTCTTTATCTACTCGTATTTTACATTAAGTTTGCAGTGGTAGAATTTTTGAATTGCTAAGCTAAGTGCAAACAAATGTCCAATATGGCACGGCAGATCAATTTGAATGCTGAGAAATTTGGTATGGGGAAAGTGCATGGACTTTTTAAGCTAAATTTCAGGCTTTAACTACATACAAAATATTAAACAAAGTATTTCACAATGAGATAGCCATATCAAGAGAGAAAACATCTTCATGAACAAACATAACTTTGTACAATGCTCAACAAAAAGTTAACTTTGCATTATATGTGATCTTTATGACATCCACTGCAAAAACAATATCTAAACGAGTTATAACTTGTGTTACTGATCGACTTTCCTAATTTCCGCAGTTTTGCTTTCTTTCCATGGAACAAGATATACAGTTGATATACGGTTTGTCCCAACAGATTCATGTTAAAGTGATATTTGATGAACAAATCAGTTCACAAAATGCTATATTTATCTTTTTGGAAAACCTAGTTAGTTGGATGGATTTGATTACATAGTTATTTTTTTCTGTGGGTTGAAAGGTGGGTACCATGGCTTTGAAAAACTAATGACCAAAGGAAGTGACCACTAGAAGTATAGGAATAGGAGAGTAATGTTACCAGTACTTGAAATAAGAATGGTTATCTTGTTCCATAGGTGATTCAAGTCAAAGTATTGACATCAGGAAAATATATATATTTTTAATTCAAGTTACTCTTACCTCGTCTAGATATAGCTATTTGCAGTGTCCGCCTTAAAGTATGCAGTGCTTAAAAGCGTTTGGGAAACCTGTGGCTTGTATTTTTGTGGTGCCTTCTTGAACTTTATGTTGGGAGTGGGTGGGATTGTCTGCTGTATTTTCACAACGCCACGCTCTATATCAGGCACTGTTGTTATCCAGGTGATGTTGTCTAAAAACAGTGTTTTATACATTTTATTTCTGTGGTTCAGCTGTACTCCAGATGTTCTTGTAATTTCTTGAGTGTGGAAAAAGTCTTCACTGTGTTTAGAAATTTCCAGGAAATGGAAGAAAATATAATTCTTTTGTAATCCAGAATCTTTCCATGGAACAAGATCCAATGGAAATTGTGACATATTTCAGATAGCAGTTCAACAAAATGTAGACCTGGTTGATCAAATTATTATCCAGTATAATAATAAAAAACCTCTTAGATTCGTCCCGTTCTAGTTCACACGGCAGGTTAATTAGGCCGATATAAGTAATTTGTTATTTGTGTAGCGCACCTTTCAGAGAGCCATTGCTGATTTGGCAATTTCCGTACCACACGACATAACCAATCTAACACTGTACTAGTTGTTAAAAGTAGAAACTAATTGAGTATTTGTCTTTGACCTGTCCTGGTGAACAGCAAGAAATATGCTCTGCAAAAAGGTAGAAAAAAGGAAATCAATTGTGGCTTACTGTAAGACATAAGTGGTGGACGTCTGTAATTAATTTGTATCACTGCATTTTGGAAACTCAAGCCAGAACATTTGATTTTATAAATAAAACAATGTAAGTGTCTTTTGGATAGATTCAAAATATTGTCAATTACAAATACAATGCCATCTTTTATGTGTTTTCTGAAGTCAAGCCCTCTACTAACATGAATGAAAATGCTTTTTTCTTTCTTTTCTTTGCAAAACTATTTTTTGGCTTTCTATTATTTTTTTGTTTTACTTTTGTGTCATAGACTGTAATCCATATTCAAAAGTTAGTTTTACCTGGAGTGTTTCACAAAACTGGCAGTTTCCATATTTACACAACACAAAACTATTTTTGGCAATAAAAACATCTGGGATGGTTCATGCCATACTCTGGAACATGATTATATTAATGAATCAAGATGATGATGGACCCTCGACTCACAGATGGCACCGCGTTTTTGTATTAAAATAAAAACACTGTGATGTCATCATTTGAACGGGCCATTCAAGTATTAATTGCCTGGACGTTTTTGTTATTTCAACATTCATTAATGTGGGTCTATTGTAAATGTTTAAAACATTGTTGATCTTATTTAGGCTACATTAAACCTACATCTGTATTTAGAGATTGTTGTACCACACGCATTTTTAGGAAAAAACACAAACAAAACTAAGTAGTGTATTTTCCGAGTCTCCTACACAGACATGAAGATATCGTGGGCGACGCTCGACGTCTGCGCATGCGCTGTAGTGCCGGGATGTGTTGGAGGCAAAGGAGGTGAGAGGCGTGTGGGAGATGTCAACAACAGCGGGCACTGGGTCAGCGCCTCTGTAAAGCCTGCACATGAACTAAAGGAGCTTTAGCGTCATCAGCGGGCACTTAGTTACTGTCATTCTTGTAGTTGTACCACATCGAATCAAGATTAAATCCCTTTAGCTAGGCAAAATGTAGCTATTGTAGCCTGGAGCATGCACGCTAGCTAGGAACATGAATCGTGACTACGTTAACATTATTTCTTTGCTTGGATTAACGGGACCCGAACGAACCTTATCTGTTTCTATTGACATGGTAGGTATACATGTGTATACGAAACTGCATGTGTTATGCTTCCGCTATAACCTAAGGTGGGGTTTACCTTGCTAAGTCTGAAGTCTTTCCCAAATCTGTGGGTTTACTGTTTTGTTGCCAGTTGTATTTAACGCTATACATCTAGTTATAATTCTCTGTAAAGAGTTAACCTACAGAAATGTGTCCCTTGTGACTGTGCTGTTGTTAACCATAAAAGCACCTAACAGTTTGTCATTGGTGTTGTGCAAAACAGCGACCCTCTTGGGGAAAGCATGTAACTGGAGACCCGTGGATTCCCCATTTCAGAAGTGGAGGTTCTCAGTCCCTTGATAAACATTCAATATGTTTTATTTCCATATGAGGTCAACATAATTGTACATCTTCAATATAATCGCTTTACCCCTGAACGTGTTTTTGTTTCCACCTCAGGCTTAAGGCATATTCTGTGTAGCAACTGTGGAAAGTATAAAGTATTACTTCACAAGTGAGATGCCCACAAGGGTGTGTCAGACGTCAAAGAACAATGCACATTGATAAACCTCTGATCGTTAAACAAATGTAAATATGCTGGATTATAGGTACAAAGCTAATTTTCATCCGCAGTTCCTAGAGGGGGTAAGTAGCTACATCATATATAATAGTACATTCTTACTTACAGGAGCTTGAAGACTGCAGGAGATTTGAAAAACTAAATCCAGGGTCTCTCCAGGGTCAATCTTACCGACAAAGACTGTTTTCTGTGGGGAACCTGAGTCTCTCTAGTGCCCCCACTAGTTTTTTTTTTTTTTTTAAAGAGTAGTGAGTCTATCTAACACTTAGTATGCATTAGATTTTTCAAACTATTGAATGGAAAAAAATATGTACTCTAGAATAGATTGTTTCCACTGTATTTATCTGGAACCCAGATGACAGGTTGGACTATTTGACTAATATATAGTTCACATGTTTTAGTCAATGTTCCATTTTGTGTGTGTGTGGGTGGGTGTGTATTGTATGTTATAGATGATTTGGATGCCGCGATTGAAGATGAATCAGAAACAGAAAACTGTATTAATCCCTTGAAGGGTAATTTATTGAAGCCGCCTGGCGCCACACACAAGAAAAATGTTATGACAAAAGTGCCATGTCAGACCACATAGGTTCAGAGGAAATATAATGCAATCATTAGCCCGGCTTTCAGAAACATTTGATATTTATTGGAATGACCTAGACATTTACAAAAAAGTTTCTGTGCATCTTCTTTCTTCATGATGATCTCTTGATGATTTTTTTTTATGACAGAGACCATAAGAAGCCATGCTCACTACAGAGATAGCAAGAGATTTCCTGGCCAAAGAGCGGAGGTCTAAAGAGCAGCTGAGGCGCTGTCTTTCTTCTGCGCTGTCTGCAGATCTACACAGGTGACGTGTGTGACACAATCTCCACACAGATTGCATTACTAAGAGAAATCCTAAATGCCAATAGTCCTTGAATGATTGAATTGTTAAAGCATATTGAAGTGATCACAAAGCAAGGTCATGTCTCATTCACATATTCATTGTAAAAATGTGTGTTATTACTCAAAAACGATATTTGAGTATTCAAGCATTGTTTGCAGTAGGATGACCTTGTGACTGCAGTAACTCCATTAAGCCACTTGGGGTCTCTATAAAGTCACAATCATGATTAATTGTCTTGTCTTCAGAAATAATGCTTACTGACCTATTTCTCACTACAGCGTTAGAACCTGTACTACTAGGTAAAGGCAATAAAAAGAGTTATTTACAAAGCTAGAACAAACGTTGAAATATAATCACAAAGTTAACACATTAATTCAAATCGAATTAAATAAATAAAATCTAATATAATTTAGTGTAAAATTGTACACATTATTTTGTTGTTGTTGTATGTTTGTTTTAATGTGTGCATTTGTGTCCTAAAAGAACCAGATTATTTTATTGACTAACACACAAATACATAAATACAAAAGTAATGATTGTCTAACCTTATAGCATTGATCTCACATGACCAGTGCCATGTGATGATGTCAACTCATGCGTATAGAAGTTTATACATCACATACAAACTCTTCTTGTCCCAGTGGCCTCGAGCTCACTGCTTTTGGGTCACCAGGATTATGCGCTGATGCAGGAGCAAATGATAAGGAAGTACCAAGCAGTAGAAAATGGGTCATCAGATCCAATCCATTTGGCACAGTTGATTTATCATGGTCCTTGTAGGTTTGAACTCTTTCCCCTGACAAATATTGGGTTTGATTTACTCATCTCTCTATCCCCAGGCTGCTGCAAGAGGAGATAGAGGCTGATGTTACTCTCTGCACCAGTGCTGGTTCTATTCGGGCGCACAGAGCCGTTCTTTTGGCCAGAGCCCCTCGTCTTCTGAAGAGACAGTCTCACAAAGACCCCACCACGGTCCATGTGCCGGGACTGGACCTCTCAGGGCTCAAAGAACTTATCAGGTGAATAGCCTTCTCAGGGTGCATGATGAGTTCGAACATCCATGGTTTTGTGTATATCATCATGTGATTGTGCAAATTACATACATACAATTCGGGCGTTCTGCTCTCCCAAAATTTCATCCACTGAGCGGCGCTGTGATCAAAAAATGACACCGTTTGTTGCCCAGTTCACTTCCGGTTGATTTCATACAATGGCGAATATGGCTCACAAAAACAACAAACGATTGACAGTGCCTGAATTGCGTGAAAGGTTGAAGCGAAAGGGTATTTGCAGTGTGGGAAAACGAAAGGAGGAATTGTTGTTGCTAGTTCAACGAGCGGATGGTGTTTATGAAGATTTAGAAGAAGATGACAGCGAGCAGAGTGAACGAAAACGGCTGTGTGTGCGAGTGACAGATGGTAACAATGAGAATGAAGTTCAGCTAAGAGGGAAGAATGTGAATTGGACGGATGATTTGCGCGATATGCCACTAGTTAGAGACGGGAATGTATTTGCATAATGTAAAATGACAAACACTCAACCATTTAGAGAAAATGCGCCGGGCAGAGAGAACCGGAAGTTGCGAAGGCAAGTGTTACCCATAATGCAACGCAAAATTAAGTCGCTCCCCCGCCCATCGGATGGAATTTTGGGAGAGCAGAACGCCCGAATTGGAATTGTGTTTTATCACAACTTAATTAATAATAATGCATCGGTTTTATGTAGCGCTTTTTGGGCACTCAAAGACGCTTTACATGTGTCATTATTCATTCACTCCATACACGGTGGTGATAAACTACTACTGTAGTGCCCTGGGGCACACTGACAGAAGCGAGGCAACCAGTACGTGCCATCGGCCCCTCCGACCACCACCAACCATTCACCAGACTCATTCTAGGCAATGGGGGGTGAAGTGTCTTGCCTAAGGACACAACGGCAGTTTTGGCACTTTTACAACGACAGCAGACATCAGTAGGAGTCGGTGGTGGGCTCGAACCCACGACCTTCTGGCTCGAAGGCCAAAGCTGAGCTACTGTCGCCCAATTAATTATAATTAATAGAAGTATATTGAACAGTTATAAGTGCTGCAGTCCATCTTTACATTTTTATATGAGTATTGTTCGGGATTTTTAACAAATAAAAAACTGAAAAGTGGGGCGTGCAATATTATTCAGCCCCTTTACTTTCAGTGCAGCAAACTCACTCCAGAAGTTCAGTGAGGATCTTTGAATGATCCAATGTTGTCCTAAATGACTGATGATGATAAATAGAATGCACCTGTGTGTAATCAAGTCTCCGTATAAATGCACCTGCTCTTTGATAGTCTCAGGGTTCTGTTTAAAGCGCAGAGAGAACCATGAAGACTTAGAAACACACCAGGCAGGTCCGAGATACTGTTGTGGAGAAGTTTAAAGACAGATTTGGATAAAAAAAAGATTTCCCAAGCTTTAAACATCTCAAGGAGCACTGTGCAAGCAATTATATAGAAATGGAAGGAGTACCAGACCACTGCAAATCTACCAAGACCCGGCCGTCCCTCCAAGCTTTCATCTCAAACAAGGAGAAGACTGATCAGAGATGCAGCCAAGAGGCTCATGATCACTCTGGATGAACTGCAGATAACTACAGCTGAGGTGGGAGAGTCTGTCCATAGGACAACAATCAGTCGTGCACTGCACAAATCTGGCCTTTATGGAAGAGTGGCAAGAAGAAAGCCATTTCTCAAAGATATCCATAAAAAGTCTCGTTTAAAGTTTGCCACAAGCCACCTGGGAGACACACCAAACATGTGGAAGAAGGTGCTCTGGTCAGATGAAACCAAAATCAAACTTTTTGGCCACAATGCAAAACGATATGTTTGGCGTAAAAGCAACACAGCTCATCACACTGAACACACCATGCCCACTGTCAAACATGGTGGTGACAGCATCATGGTTTGGGCCTGCTTTTCTTCAGCAGGGACAGGGAAGATGGCTAAAATTGATGGGAAGATGGATGGAGCCAAATACAGGACCATTCTGGAAGAAAACCTGTTGGAGTCTGCAAAAGACCTGAGACTGGGACGGAGATTTATCTTCCAACAGGACAATGATCCAAAACATAAAGCCAAATCTACAATGGAATGGTTCACAAATAGACGTATCCAGGTGTTAGAATGGCCAAGTCAAGGTCCAGACCTGAATCCAATCGAGAATCTGTGGAAAGAGCTGAAGACTGCTGTTCACAAACACTTTCCATCCAACCTCACTGAGCTCGAGCTGTTTTGCAAGGAAGAATGGGCAAGAATTCCAGTCTCTCGATGTGCAAAACTGATAGAGACATACCCCAAGCAACTTGCAGCTGTAATTGCAGCAAAAGGTGGCGCTACAAAGTATTAGCGCAAGGGGGCTGAATAATATTGCACGCCCCACTTTTCAGATTTTTATTTGTTAAAAAAGTTTAAATTATCCAATAAATTTCTTTCCACTTCACAATTGTGTCCCACTTGTTGTTGATTCTTCACAAAATATATATCTGTTTGAAGCCTGAAATGTGGCGAAATGTTGAAAGGTTCAAGGGGGCCGAATACCTTCGCAAGGCACTGTACTGTCCACAATTGAAATTAATTATTTAAAAGCAAATATAATTAAAGTAACCTTAATTCAGTCTGCAACATCTGCTGTTTTTCCTCTTATCTTTTACTTTGAATAAAAATAAACACAAACGGGCAGTACAGAGCGGGACAGAACAAGCTGGTCAGGAGGGCCAGCTCCACTCTGGGCTGCCCCCTGGACTCTGTGGAGGAGGTGAGGGACAGGAGGGTGCTAGTCAAAGCCACCTCCATCATGGACAATACCTCCCACTGCACAGGACTGTAGAGGAGCTGAGGAGCTCCTTCAGTGGAAGAATGAGGCACCCTCAGTGTAGGAAGGAGCGCTACCGCAGGGCCTTTATTCCCACCGCTGTCAGACTGTACAATAAGTCACTTTAAATGGTCACTGTGAAAACCTGTACTACTATTGACACCGTTTCCAATTGACACTTGACACTTTTGTTGTACAAAATTATCCTGCATGTAACATGTTTGCACATTTCTTTCTTTTGCACAATCTGAGTGTTTCTATCCATGCCAATGTGTAAATTTCTCTTTTGTGAGATAAATAAAGCACATCTTATCTTGTTTTGAGAACATTTAGGAGAGACCAGTTATTGTATATCTGTGAAACCCAATAATGGAAACTGATTTTACTGAATTGATGTATACTGTAATAATGTGTATGTACCATGCATGGAACATGCTTCCTGATTTAAACAAAAAGGTTTACTTCCTCTGTTAAAAAAAAAAAGAAGGTTTAAATCAGAGTTAAAACAGTTTCTGTTTTCATGTTGACTCCTCTATTTCCATATGTATATATTTTGTATCCTATATCGCTTATGCTGTAAACATTATCTGAATATACTGTAACACATTTTATTCAATTTACTTTATAGAAAAAAAAGTAAGTAGTATTCTTATTTGGACCCCAGACAGAATAGCAACAACTCTGCTGCTCTCATGGGGTCCCTTCAATAAACATAAACATAATCCGTTAAATAGAAGGCAATTATTCCTGTCGTATGAATAATTAGATAAGTTTTCAAAAAACACCATCCTAAAACAACACTAGTCAAAAAGTACAGTCCTACATAAGGGAACATTGGATCACAACATCTTAAGTTTCTGCAAATATAAGGAAAACATGTCCATATTCCCCACAGGCGCGTGTACACGGCAGAGCAGAGTATGCGCTCAGGGGATATCCTCCCAGATGTGGAATGGACTGCCCCAGATGTTCCAGACATACACCGCTCCACTAACTCTGGTAACAAAAAATATTGTTTTGTTCTATATGGCTCTACTGCACAAATATGTTTACTTAAAAAGCCATATCGTGCCTTTGTCTGCTATCTGATTATAATTTAATACACCCACGGTTCCAAGATCATTATCATAGTTTTTAGCATCTGTAGGTTTTATGTAGCACTTTTTTGGGCAATCAAAGAAGCTTCACATGGCATTATTCATTCACTTCATACACTGTGGTGATAAACTACTCACACACTGAAGGGTAAGAATGTTGATTTTAGAAATTGGATGCACTCGAGAGTCGGCTGCTGCTAGCGAAACACAAGAGGAGTTTATGGAGGAGACACCCGTTTTGTTTTACTTTTTAAAACTCATTAGACTTATTTCCAAATGTAGGATTACATATCTTCGCTCAAACTATTATCTGGACTTAAACATGAAAGTGGTCTGTGCAGTTTATGTTTAAGGTAAGACCCATAACACACTTTTAAATGTGCTTTTTCATACTTATACGTTTTGTATGAGCAAACAATGCGGGCATGAAACATATTCTGCTGTAGCCAAACAAATTGTGAATAAGCCGCTCTGTAGGTCCTGTTGATTTATATGATGGACATGATGTACATCTGAGTGGGGTGAAGTCAGTGCCTGACCAATCACCAACCTCAGCGCACGTCACTGGTGTTTCCACGTTCACACTGGCGGGTGTTGGTGTTTAGTGCTTACAGCACAGAGAAAGATGGAAAGTGAGAAGGACTCCAGCAGCAAAACAGCCTTTTCCAGAAGGAAATATCAGCACTATTTTAAACTCACTGAGGTTAAAGGTAAAAATGTGCATGTGGAGTGCACATTATGTTCCAGAACGAAACGAAAAAATCGCAATAGTTACTTTAACTGGTAACTAGTTACTTTTATAGTGGAGTAACTCAGTTACTTTTTGGGAAAAGTAACTAGTAACTATAACTAATTACTTTTTCAAAGTAACATGTCCAACACTTTTGGCCCCTCTGACCACCACCAACCATTCACACACACCAGACTCATTCCAGGCAATGTTGGTGAAGTGTTTTGCCTAAGAACACAACAACAGTTTGGCACTTTTCATTATGTTTTCAAAATTGAAGTATTGAGCCATACAAACAGAAGCAGTTTTCAGTGGATTATTTATATACTTTAATTTGAGCCAAAATGCTTGTGAAATGCAAGCATACACATTTTTGTAATCTTTTTGTCATAGATTACAAAAATTAACAAAAGTAAAGAACAGTACGCTTTCATCAGTGGTCGTTCAAAATGGAGTACTGCTTATATGTGCATGTCCTCTTTCTAGACTCAGACTGTGGTCCGGAGTCGGCCTCTGGACTCGGGGCAGATCTGCTGCGCTTCTATCAGCGCGGGGAGCAGTGTGACATCACCATCCAGGTTTCGGAGCAGTTATTCTCCTGCCACAGGTAATTCACATATTAAAACACAGGGATGCACCAATCCAGTTTCTTAAAGTCCAATTTGGACAGCAGAAAGCATTTTCCCCCTCAAATCTCAGCAATCTCAATTTAAAACTAAATCAAGCCAAAACTCCCTTTTTGTGTAAAATTGTATATGACATTCTAGGCTAATGTCAGACAGTAAAGCAACTTATTACACCAAAATAAACCAACATCATCAAACAGATACCGGATCCAACAATATTTTCAAAATTGACACCAATATCGTATCGGTGCATCCCTAAATATATACCTAATACACGCAATACATTATGGGGGGAAGCGTTGGCTAATATTAATAATAATAAATGTATTATTGTCTAGACTAGAGCATTTCATGCAAATTCATGCAACCCAATGTGCTTAACAACAATTATAAAATGATTTATAATTCAATAAACCCAACGGAACCCGCAAAGATAAAGAGACACATGTTTAGGGATAAGCAAGTCAAAACAAGTGAGTTAATATGGAAGACTATTGGCACCTTAATTCAATTGTCTATTCATTTGTCAAATGGCTATGCATTATGTTATTTTAGTATTTATTTTGTTTTTTTCAAAGTGTAATGTTATATCCAATTTTGACATTTAATGTTCTATTCCAAAAGTTCTAATGGCAATTCAATATGTAAAGTGTCGATACAATGTCTTTATATATTGCAAATTACAAGATTTTGAAATGAATAGCATATTGACATGGAAATTTGGCCTCTTTATTCATTGTTCTATTCATTCTTAACATGGCATTTAGTTTAGAGTTGTATTTGGCAAAATTGCATGTTATATCCTATTTTGACTTGTATTCAACATTTGAGTATGTTAAGTTTCATTTAATGTGTTGTGAAACAGCACCTCCCTCTGGATTGCATTGCATATTGCATATTGCATTGCCACATGGTTTGAGTGCAACTTAATTCAATATGCTATGCAGTTCTTGACCCCTGGGAAGGCGGGCCCTGGTCCGCTCTCGGCCAATCAGAGACGAGTCTATATCCTCCTAGCTAGATGCGTATGGAGCTATTATTGTTTCAATAATATTTGTCTGTGCGTAAACAGATTTGTGTGTGCGTAAAAAGATGTGTGCTTGCGTAACCAGATTTGTGTGTGCGTAACCAGATTTGTGTGTACGTAAAAAGATTTGTGCGTGCGTAACCAGATTTGTATGTACGTATCAAGATTTGTGTGTGCATAAAAAGAAGATGACAAATTTGACAAATACAAATACGAAATAAATACTAAAATAACCTAATGCATAGCCATTTGACAAATTAATAGACAATTGAATTAAGGTGCCAATAGTCTTCCATAAGTTAAGTTTAATTATCTTTTTTCATCATAACAAAGGCTGTTTTGAAAATAAATGGGAGATCAACCTTGGAAAGTTCAAGAACTATAAGAGGCACTGCATAAAACTGATTGGAAGTCACAGTAGATATGGTCAGTTTGTGAGCACAGAGTTTCCATGGAGACAGTTTTTTTCTTTGAGAGTAGAAAGGTCCGCATGAGAGCCTGGTACCCAGTCTCTGCTGCAGTGATGTGTCTGACAGCCCTTTTAGAGGCGTCTGCTGCTGCTGCTGCTTTCACTTTAGAGTGCCCTTCCCATGAAATATTTATTTACAATAATCTAATATTAGATCAGAGCTGTAACGTCATAATCTTTATTGTATTTGTCAAAGTCACAACTGTGCACACTGCTCAGCTTTTTTATACACAGTCTGTCTCATGTCTTCTCAACAACATAAGTTAAAAATAGGGCTGTTTAAACACATAAACAGAGAGCTATACAAACTATGTAAAGGTCACAGCATTTGTTGGCCTTGTGCAGCTGTTAACTGTACTATTGATGCATTTCATATTATGCCATCAACTTTCCTTGGAGGTTCTTTTGTCACCAGTCACTTTACCTGTTATTAGTATTACTGCTATATCGATCCATCTGATATTTCTGCCATTCATTGATATTGTTTTGATGCTTATTCTGCTCATATTCTCATATACTCCGCTGCCAATGTACAATATAGACATCTGTAAATACTTCTGAACCAAGTGCAATTATAGCCAGAGTTTATCTTATTTTATTTTATTTTATTCTTATCTTAAATTAATTTAATCTTAAATTTATTGTCTATTATCTTAAATAATAGACTTATTTGATGTGTGCAATCTGAGTGCTCTTATTTCCTTCTTTCTCTGCTGTAATGTGCGCAACAATGACACTGAAATTTCTCCACTGTGAGACGAATAAAGGTTTATCTTATCTTATCTTATCTTAAAGCTAACTGAAGGTTATACAGGAGGTAATCGCGTATTCTGGGCTTCTCTTAAAACATGACGTTTGTTCATTACGGTTGCTCTCACATAGTATTCAAGCCAGGACGACTACTACTACTTATTCCATCTGACACTTCTCCAGGTTTATGTGATCAAACAAATATATTTTACTTATTTCAGTTTCCTCTATCTTATTGTTGATCACTTTTACCTCAACCCAAAAGGACTATGCAATTTTGTGTATTGTTTTGATGTATATTTTTATGTGTTTAGGGTCATTCTATGTGCGCGGTCACAGTACTTCCGGGCCATGCTCAGTGGGAGCTGGATGGAGAGCTCCCAGAACTGCATCACCCTGCAGGGGTAAGCGCCAAAAGTCGACCACTTGAAAGACTATTTCTTGACCTAATTTCCAACCATCCATAACCAACACTTCTTATATGGATGTCTTTACATTGTTTCTAGTTTGGGGCCTGAAGAGATGGAGATTTTGCTACAGTTTATGTATGGGGCAATAGTGGATTTACCGCCAGGAGCCAGTGCCAGGTAAAGGAAATCTTTGTATTGTAAAGGATAGAACTGTGCAAAATAAGTCACCCCTGTGTTCCCTCATGTGTCCGCAGTCAGGTGGTGCTGGCGGCCGACATGCTGGGTTTGGATGGACTCAAAGATGTGGTGGAGATGGTTCTGATCAGAGACTATTGCCGCTTCTTTCCCAAGGTCAGTGTGCATCAGTTAAACATCACTTTTAATAATGTATTGTTCTATATGTTAGTTAATGTTATTTTAAACAAAGACAATACATATGTACACATAAAGATGCCCAGGGCTCTCTTTATGAGCCCTAGTGAATCTCGCTCAATGAAGCCCAATGAGGAAGTGCACATGGGCGAAGTTTTGCTCCGACACGCTCGAAAGCCTGTCAAAGTGTCCTGTGATTAAAGTTTAGACCAGTGCTGTGGAAATTGTAACAAGTTGAACGTCCTTTCACCTGATTTATCTATTTTGTCTCTATTGCAGCCAAGTGAAGGGGTCCAAAAGGGTATCCTCGAGTGCCTCTGCCTTACCCATGCCTTAGGCCTCCACAGCCTTAACCAGCAGTGTAAAAGGTAACCAAAGAAATTACATAATCTATTTTAAAAAAGTGATTGCCTTCATTTACATTTATTAATTCATACTTGCAACTATATTAATCATTGTATAGTTATTCATAATAATTGACCATTTGTGGTATTTCTGTTGTAAATGATTGTAATTGGTCCCAGTTGGCTGCATGAGGGGGAACTGAGTGATACATAGGTGGGGTACATAACTTTTCTCATAAATATTACAACAAAAATAACTGATCTAAAGATGTGACAAAGGGCAAACATAAAGATGATAATAGAACCAACTAGTAAGATAGACTTCATTACATAGTTACAATTATTATGGTTTAAAAGTTAGACACCCCATCTTTAACTGAGTAGATGGAAGTTGTTTGTTATTTTATATGATATATTGTTATTACTAGTATTACTTTCTGTTTTGTTTTTTTATTCACTCGCTATAAGATAATTTCAGTCTCCAAAAACTCTCCAAAGGACTTTTCACTGACAGATCTGGCCCTGCTGTGTTCAAAGTGTTTAAAATAAGCATTTCTATTTCGAGGTGGATCGCTGAGCATTTTGTGAAGACATGGTCAGAGCGAAACTTCTCCCTTTTATCACCTGAGCTCCAGAGAGTCTGTTTTACAGCTGTAACCGAAACTATGGTGAGTTGTCTGTTTCTTTGCTCTCTCTCCACCACAGCTCCTGCCTCTTTTCTCCATCTTCTTTCCTTCCTCTTTGCAATTACAGAAATATCCCCCACTCATCCTCCAACGATTTGTCCACAGGAAGCAAATTTGAATGTGATCTAATTTGAAGAACGCTTTATTCAATTCTTAGTTATTAAAGATGAGCTAATTTAGGATTATGAGCCAGCACAGACAGATGGGGAGGGAACCAGGGGCCTAATTGATAATCAAGTTTGTCTTTCTTCACGTCCAAGTGGAGTATTGAGTTCTCACAGCAGACACATAAACACTTGTACAGACTTGGCAAAACTCTAACACATGTCTGCCAACTATTTGGATTGTAGAACCACGGATCTATATCAACAACCTAGTTTTAGAGCAAGTCTGTAAACCAGTATTTTTTAACAGTCTGAAAGATACACTTTTTACAGTTTTTTAAAGGTATTTGGAATTATCTAAAATTTTAGGAACCCCCCTCTTGACTTTTGAAAAAAACTCTGGTCTTGTTTGATGAGCACCAGAATGATTGACAATTAGGAGGAACAATTGTATAGAGATATGCTGTGGTTACAGGTTTCATTTCCAACCAAGTAGGAGTACACCAGACTCTACTAATTTCCTCAAGTGAGTCCAGTCTTGGAATGGACCAAGAACCAGTTTGACACCCCTTTGCAAATAGATTATTATTATTTTATCCATCCATCCATTCAGATGTATTATTTTTAGATACAATTTCAAAACATAAAAGCAATACATTTTAATATTGGCATGATGAGCTGCTAAGCCATTACAAGGGTTCCATACACTTTAGAACATGTCACAGCAGATCTGTCCAAAATAAGTTATTTTTCTTGTATACGACCCTGAGATAATCTTATTTAGTTTATCTTGTCATCGGTTACAATAGATCTCTCTTTGTGCTCTATGCTTCAGACAACTGTATAAGTGAAATGTATTTACCATAATAGTGATAGTGATTTCATCACCACTGATGTCTGTGCTCCACTTCTAGATGCCAATAGCCTACAGCGGTTGAACTGGTTGGTCTCAGCTCCCATGACCCATGCCCCACCCCGTCCATTATGTGTTTTTTTTCTGTCTGCAATGACCAGCTATTGCGGATATTAAGTTTTCTTGTTCTGCCTCGTCTTTTTTTGTTTTTGTGAATCTTCCTGTTGCGTCTGTCTCACATTAGCTTGTAAGAAACCAATAGATAGTGATAGATAATCTACCAGATTTAGCAACAAAACTATGTTACTGCAAAGTGACACACTATTACAGTATGGCACTTTGCAGTAACATAGTTTTGTTATTGTGACACAGTTCCAAAAAACCTAGTCTATACTTACAAGTTCATACATCATGAGATTCCAAGGAAAGGATTTCTTTTTAGTGCAATTACATTTTTTGTTTGTTCTGTTACCTTCAGACTGTCCTTAACGTGGTAACGATGCTCTGTGGGACGGAGCAGCTGATTGGGAGTCTGCCTGAAGTGAAGTGGGCGCAGCAGGTGAAATATCTGGTCACGGAGCTCCAGGATCATAGCCTCAAATACATCGTCCAAAACTTCTCCAAAGTCCTCCACACTCAGGCCTTTCAGGATCTACGCAGGGTACAACAACTCCAACTCTTCTCTATGTCCATGTATAGACTTGTATAATGACTACTGCAATAGAACGACTATAAACAATTTTATTTATCAATGTGTCAAAACCAACTGCACAGTCAAAAGAGTAAAATAACATACTTTGCCCAGCTAGTGTTGGTGCAATATTAATAGATACAATAATGTGATATATTAGATTGATTTGATTTTGCATTATTGATCTTTTAGGGAGAAGAGTTTACTACAGAGCCCATGTTGCTGAGGAAGCTTGTTTCAGCCATAAAAGAGGGTGTGACGGTGGAAAACAGCTGTGAGCTTTACACTGCAGTTCACTGGCTATGTGGAGGCGACCCGGAGGAGCCTGGACCGCCTCAGCTCCAGCAGATACAACAAGAGGTGATTCCCATGGGCTCAGGTCATGTCCTGTCCTCATCCAAGGTCATGTCTGGTTTGATGTTTAGTCCCTGGAACCTGGTCCTAATTTAGACCTGGTAAACTTGCTTTTGTCAAAGATTAGCTACTTTTATATATTAAAGAGGCTACATTACTTGGGGGTGTGGTTTGGTGAACCACTTGCTTTTCTCCATTGAGGTGTTATTGCTTTGCCTTGGACTGATCCACAAATTTACATTTAACTTAATTTATTTGTATGTACTCTCAATGTGAGTGGCCTCTCCTCTCTGTAACTTTAACTATTGACAGATTCAGTAAGTGCAAACAAATAACATGTATCGATAGACGAATTATCGAATCTAAAGATGGTTTGAATTGTCTGTGGTTTAGTCCTGGATCCTATTCTTGTTAAATCCGTCTTGGCTTTGTCCTCGTCTTTGTTCCTTAAAAAACTGCGAAAAAAAAGTCATGATATGTTGTGTGTTTGTGATGGATTGTATAGTTTTAATCTTAAAGTCTGGTTGAAGATAGATATGTCAAATTGAGACATATTACAAGATTGTGTCTGTATGATCAATTCATCAACGTATACTTGTTGGCTGTTTTCTGAAAGGATCTGAACTAGTGTCTGTAGGTATGTCTATGTTGAAATTATTTTTTGCTGTAACTTAGGGTGTTTAACTGCTATACATTCATGTTATGAAACTGCAGTGTGAGAGTGTGCAGGCTTAAATTTTACTGTGATGGAAGCAGATTATGCTTAGGGAAAGTGACCTGGCTGCTTAAGTCCTGTACAGTGCGGCACAATGGATTAGTGCGAGACACAGTGACGTGGACCAGTGCCTTCCTCTTAATCTCCAGAGGCAAAGTTTTTAAGGATTGAGAGGACATTTACTCATCTTTTCAAATCCCATTTCATTCGCTTTTATATAGTTATGTCACAGCTCATACATCATCCACATTTCAATGAATACTGCTCGGAAACAGCTGTTTATTTATGGTGTGTAAACATGAGTTGAGAAACATTTTCTGTGTGTTCATGAGGGCAGCATAATGGCTCAGTGGTTAGCGCTTTTGCCACGATTCCACCTCCAGGGCTTTCTATCCTCTGGGTGCCATTGTTTCTCCTACCACTGGAAAAATTTACAATAGGCCCCCATAACACCCACTTCTCCCCCCACTCTCTGGGGCCAGGATTCCCCTGAAAAAGAGACTCTGAAATCTCAGTGGGACTTTCCCGGTAAAATTAAGGATAATAAATGTAACATGGTACATTTGAGCAGTTGATGGTTGAATTGTTGTTATAGACACTTTGTGTTTCATTATGCTGTTTATTGCAACCCTAAACTTACGTTTAGATATGAATGTTACGATTGAGTCAAGCCCCAGTTCAAGTTTAAATTTTAAGATTCCAATTTCTTTATAAATTGAACATAACAACTCATTTCAAAATGTTTCTTGTATTATAAAATCAGTATTTTTGTCCTTAAACTTTACATTATCTTGATTAATTATGAACAGTTTCATTATTATTTTTTCACATTAATTTGCATTTCAAGCTATTTAAATAGATTTTTGATAAGTTGCTACATCCCTATTTCCATGTCTATATGTAACATGATTTTCAGGTTTGCTGTTTTGGGACTTTAGCTTCAGTACCAATATTCCAATTAGTTGTGATATATTTCTGGGCTTCATGAGGAAATTGGCTGGCTTTCTCCTGAGAGCACGAGTCGTATCTGTGGTTTGACTGAATGGGGAAAGGGAGAACGAGCGGGTGAAAGGGAGGGGTTTTTGTTGCCATGGTGAAAGGTTCCTGAAACAGCTGCCGATTCGTTGAGCTGTAGCGCACCCCTTTCCATTCTCCGTCTCCTACCCCCCCTCCCCTCCTTCCCCTCCCTCTCTGTCTGCCTCCTCTCCTCCGCTCTGTTCCCGAAAGCCATTCAAGCAGGAGATTTGCGGTCTACGCGATCGGCTCTGGACTTTCCTCCTACAGACCTTTTACGCTGTTCGCCACACTCAAGGATGGGAGAGCCTTTCACCAAAGTATAGAGAGCGGATTTTAGCAGGTAAGCAATCGCACATCCATCCCCACTTTTCACTCACGCTTTTGCAAGGCGAGTGTAAATGGTGCGTGGCTTGCATATTTTTTCCCTCCAAACCAGCGTAGCGTGTGTGCCATGCATCATTTGATAAAAACAGGAATGAGAATGAGAGCAAGTTAAAGTAAATTTCACTCAATGGATAATCAGAATTTGAGTAATTTGTTTTATCATTTGTTTAGCTGTATTCAGTGCACAGCTGTACAGATGTGGGGGTTTCGCAGACATACCAATGCGCCATGCTTGTCTTTGATGGGTGGGAAGCAGAAACCGTGTCTTTGTGACTGCGGCTGATTAATGTCCACGATAAAAAAACAAACAATGTGTTGTTTTCCTCCACTCTACACCTTACAATGTGTTGCAATGTAGCACATGAATAATGTATGACAAGCCTTCTATCAGGACTGCTGTCCCATCACACAGGCTGGTCTATAAGATAAATCACATCACAAGATTTCATCACTGTTTCTGTTGATGGGTTGAATTATTGGTGATATTTGTGATAATCAATCGGGCTATGATATAAGACCTTTCATGTGCTATATTTTTCAGACCACCTATTATTTGATTCAAACATTTCCAGAAACATAATACAAAGCATTGATCGGTTTGAGAGCAGAAAAAGCCTCACAAAGTCATTTAGTTGGAGACAATGTTTTGTCATTGTTATGTCTGTGTACTGCGTTTTTTACAATATCTTTAATTGCTGTGACTTGAATAAAATGTATGTATTGCTGAAGAGCTATTTTTGGCTCACACCTTCTTCTGTTTATCTGTCTGGCAGATGCTATTGATAAAGGGGATAATAGAAGACTTGGGAAGAAGCCAATATTTTCTAGCTCACAGGTATTTGAACTCACATCATTGCTCATTACCTTTTCATTTGTTTTGCTCTTTCCACATTAGTAGAGGAAAAGGAGCTTGTAGAAGCCAAATTCTGTGACTTATAATTGTGTTTAGGGCTGCATGGTTTTGGGATTTCTCAGACCCACATTCAAGTTGCGATATTTTATTTGCACTGAATGTTTAAAAAGTAGGATTGGCGTATTGTAAGCAAATTCAGTGGCATTTACATGTGAGACATAACTAAAATAGGAGATGGTGAACTAATACAAGAATTGCATTTCCCGTATTTTTAAAAACGTTAGTCTAAATGCAGTACAGCATAACAGGAACTTTCAATGAGACTGTTTTGCCTTAAAAGTGTTTCACAGTATGCCATTACATTTTCTATCAACATTGCACGTGTGTTCATTTGACCAATTTACTAGCTGAGAAACAAGCCAACGCAATGTAAGAATTTAGGCTTTTGAGCAATACGATCTCTAAACAGATCATGCACAGGTTTTATGTCTAGGTTGAAACTGTTGTAAACAGCTGTTGTATTTGTGTTTTCTGGTACATCATCAAGCTGTCCCCTATCGACTGTCACATTAGTCTTTTCATGAATGTCTTGGCTTGTACTGCTTGTGTGGGTGTGGGTGTGTGTGGTAATAACTCATGGATAGTTTGCATAGTTTTAGCAAATCCCCAGGAACGATTAGAGAGACCATCAGAAGCCATATGTCCCAGAAACCCACCCCCACAGCACGATACGGAGCATGAAATGAACAGCAGCTCAGTGTAAACAGCTGGGCCGGCCTCATATAAATAAGCCTGAGTGAATCATGAGGGGATTTTCTCAAGGGTTCAACACGAGAAGCACAGATTGATTGGATGAACTTCATTAGTGTGGACAGTGTGTAGGCATTCACTCACTTCTGCAATGTATATTAGGCTGTTTGTATTTAAGCTTAAATATACGAGATGATTCAATATTTCAATAGCGATTGAAAAAGTCAGTGAGTGAACCACTGTTGTTTGTAATGACAAGGAACATGGCACAAACTTCTATTTCTCATGAACCTAAAGAGGAGATTAAATTTAATGTAATGAGTTTGGTAATGATCATACACAGCCAAATGGAAGTGTACGCAAATTTCTGCCTTTTCCACATGATATTGTTCCATCCATTTGTGTAAGTAACTTGAATCAAAGCCACTTCTGACCTTCAGTCCAACTTATTTTCAAATTTTTTTTTTCCACAATTAGGACTGTAAGATAGGGAGCAACAGTGGCTCAGTTGGTAGAGCATTGGCCTTTGAGCCTGAAGGTCATGGGTGTCAAGCCCACCACAAGACCTCTTTCAGTTTAAATTGTGAATATTGAACACTCTAAGAATGAACACTAAGAATAAATGAGGTAAACTTTATTGATCTCACAATTGAGAAATTTACATGTCACATTTGGCATGGATAGAATCACTCAGGGTGTGCTAAAAAAACAACAATGTTGAAATATAGTCTCTTATTATCTCTAATTAGCCCTATTATACAGTATGTTTGTTAGTAACAACAACTGAAAATGAATAATAGATATGTATATAAAGTGTTGTTTTTGCACATAGAGTTCAGCAATGGCTACTTTGAACCGCTCTAGTCTGTCTGAGGATGACTCACTCTCACACATTTGTGACTAATACTTTTGTCCCCACAGCTCCGGGCGGTAAAATGCCCTTCCCCTGCTCCTGAGAGTCCTCCAATCAGCAGGACACCAAGTAAACAAGTGTCCAGTCATTCCAAATCTCCCTTCTCTCAAAATCCTGCTACAGCCATGAAATCGGACGCACTCGGGACAGCTCCCAAACTGGGCGAGGGTCCTAAGATGAAAAGTGTGAAGAAGCCGGCAGATCGCGGCCCGGCATCGAGAGCAAAAACAGGGGCGACGCCAGTGGTCAATGGGACAAGTGTTCGGCGAGATGTGGTGTGTACAGTATAAAGAGCATATTCAGGATTATTATTTAAACATTTCAAATCACCTCCTTGTTTCCTATCTATCTATAGATCTATATATGATGATGTTTTCATTCTGTTTGTTCATTTGTTTTCCTGATCAATTCATCAACGTATACTTGTAAAATATTAGGCATTTTCATAATCATTTTAGTGAGTGGATCATAACCATTCCTGTTTCTATGTAGAATTGGACATTTTTTATACCGGTATATACAAACCACAACCATCGATTTTTGCATTTGTCTATTGAATGAATCAAGAAATTACCATTTTGCACTACCATACTATTACTATAACTGTGCAACATTCCTAATCAGTCACACTGATTTTCACTATTCACGAAGAAAACCTGCACAGTTCACCTTCAAGATTTGCGCTTCCATTGTTGTATTGTTAAAAATTGACATTGAACTTATTTTAGGCAAGTGCAAATGGCCCCAGGAGTACCACTGCCTCCAAAGACCATGAAAGGCACCCCAATCCTGGAGCAAGACCAAAAACCTCTCCTCCAACCGCTACATCCACCAGCCAGGGGCCAGGGTCCAAGGCTCAGAAAGGAGCTCAGGCCTCCTCCACATCAGGCAGCGCTTCCCCAGAGAATGGAGCCAGCAGCCCCAAAAACGATGTCCAAACAGTGCCAGGTTACCACTCTTTATACATTTGTCTTCATAAGGGGATTTTTTTGTTTTTTCAAGTTAGCATGCAGCCCCCTGATCTAGTCCTGGGATCTTATTTATCAATCCTTCATATGCAAAAGAAAATCACAGAATCAGATCAAAATGTATCAACCACTACAATGCGAATCACCGCCATGCAAACCTCAGATTGTATCAGATTGGGTTATGTCTTTAATGTCTCATACGTCAGATCATTCTCAGATAGTGTCGTTGTTTTTTGTTTGTGCTGGTTTGTGCCAGACAGATTCCTGCATTATCACTTAAGTCTTAGGACTGACAGGCCGCAGACAGATAATTAGTCTGATAAATGAGGAGCTTCTGTCAGGAGGACATTTGAGGAGAAGGGGGCAGAAGGGAGCAGTGTGTGAATGTGATGAAGAATAAATAACTCAAAGTTGTCCCAGACAGCTGCTAGCGTAAAGCAACATGCAGTAGACACACAGGATTAAAGGCAGGTATTTAAAATGTAGATTGCGTCATTGGCATTTGACATCACACGACAATAATACCAGTTGTACAACACGACCAAACTAACCAGTAAAGTCATACATTTGTTTGAACTGAGAAAGAAACTAGCTTGATATTTCAAATTCATCTGGACATCTGGAAACTGTTCCTCTGTTGTGGCTTATGCCTCTAATTTTGCTCTGTATCTTATTATCTAGGTTAATAAATGTATATTTGTATGTTTTCAATTAACGTTTATTAACATAAAGTTGTAACTGCAAACAACAAACAAGGGAAATCCAATTAGAAGTAAAATCTGTATTTTTGGCAATGTTAGATTCACATTCAATATCATTACTCTCTGAATTCATTCATTAATTTAAGCTATTTCCATCTGAGAAAGAGGAGTTTTTGAGTGTTGAGGACGATCTTTGAAACAGTAATCTGACTATACCCCCTGACTTTACCCCTATGGGCTCAGCTGTTATAGAAGCTGTGGTACAGTACTGTAGATGCCTCCCGCTGCAGGAGCGCTTTGACGCAGCATATGTCATTCTGAACAAGCCATCCAAACAGCATTTATTTTTTTAAAGATGTATTGATCTTGAATATTCTGTTTCAGGTGCCAAATCGAAACAGCAGGTCAAAACTGTGAACAGGCCTGCACCAACAAAGCCTCCTCAGAAGTCAGAGCCAGCCAAAACCAGCAGGTGAGAGAGGAGAAACGTGCTTAATAATTCATTACATTGTGACAAGGTTCTTCAATGACAAAATGGCCACATTATCTTCTGTTGAGATGGAGGCTACTATACATTATTTTAGTGTTGTCTGGAGATTCAGTGATCTAACCTGATCTATATACTGTTGTCCTGTTGTTGCATAAAAAGCTAAACTAATTAGCAATACAGTTCTTAGATTGTCAACTTAACACAGCCACTGGTATTCTTGATTATTATTATTTTGATCTCTTTTTGTTGTTCTGTATTTAGTGGATTATCAATTCAATTCATTTTTGTATAGCCCTAAATCACAACCAATAAGAAACACAAAGGAGCCATGTGTGGCTAAAGTAGCAGGATTACCGATGTCCTTAAATGTTATATGTAAAAAAGGGGTTCTTTATTCACTATTGAGTAATTGAGCCTTTTGCTTTTTTTACAGTACTTTTTATACATTTGCCCTATGATCACAGTATGCTATTATATTTCAAAGTAGCTCAATATACATGTTTGTGTGTATTGATCATTTTAAACAATACATGGCTATAGAAGCTCTAGTCTTTGAAATAAGCTATTCTTGTTAGGTGTGTGTGTGTGTGTGTGTGCGTGTGCGTGTGCGTGCGCGTGTGCGCGTGTAGAATGAGATTTTGCAATAGCTATAGGGTAGATTCTTGTTGTTGAAATTATATTCAATTTATTCTAATAAAATGTAAATATGAGTCAAATGAAATATTGAGTTTGTTTTAACACAAATGCTTTTCACTCATATTTCTTCAAGCAAACCATCGGTCAGAGAAACCAGTAAAGGGAAAAGTGTTGGAGCTGAGAAAACGGCCGCTGCAGCATCGAGAGCCACTGTCAAAGGAAGAGCATCTGACAACCATGGTACTTTACTCTACATTGAAAATTGTTCATGTAGCTACAAAAACACGTTTTGTGTAGGACTGAAAGAAATTCTTATATATTGTAGAGAAAAGCAAGAGAGAATAGGCCATTTTTGACTTAATATTATATATTTTGTAGTAGGGCTGGGCGATGTGGCTGAAAACGATATCATAATATAAGTAATTCATATAGGTCGATAACGATATATATTGATTGTTTTTTATTAATTTTTTTAAACGTAAATAAATACATTTGTCGTGTCGGCTAACACATGTTAGCAGCCCTGTTTACAGTCACGGGGGAATGAGGCTGCAGACAAATGTTCACAAACAGTCTCCTCCACTTTAGTCCTGGTTTAATCCTGGTTTAGCTCCTGTTCTGGCTGTTTACGAGTGTCTTGTGTCCCCGTGGCGGCTCCTGAAAAAGTTAATCTCTTGCTTTTGCCGAATCCATCAAGTCTCTGCCTCTCCCGCGCCGCACATTTTTAACCATTGACACGGCACTGAAACACGATCTTTAGATCCATGGCTATTATAATAGATCCATGATCCATGGACGCTACGCGTGGTGCGGTTGTTTTTTTGCTTTTCCCAGAAAGTTTTGCGGTTTATAGTCGGCTGTGATAGGTCGAGAAGCCTTTGCCTACATCCCCCAGAATGCAGTGCGCTTCTGACTCTGCTTTACTTCCTGTGTTTTGTTCCTGTTTTTTTCGAACGGACTGAAGTGAAACTATCGAAGTTCTGTCGACCCTGTTTTCGATTGATATCGAACACGTGTCTATCGCAATATATATCGTTATCGTTTTATCGCCCAGCCCTATTTTGTAGTACATTTGAAATTTCTATTGAGTAAAAAATAAAGGTGACAAGGGAATAATTGTTTGTGGCCCAAAAAGAGCATTTGTTAATAATCGCATTGATATATATATATTTAAATGAACAAAAGTAAGTGGGTCTGTCTGGGGAGCATTTGCGTCTCAGGTGTAAGAGAAAAGAAATGGATGTATAAATGTCAAGGGAAATTTTATATGTACTGTATGTCATATTTTATTTAAATTTCACGCCCTCCCATTGACTGCACAGGTGGGAGAGCGGAGAAAAGTCGCTTGAAATCTAACCTATAATCTCTATTTTAGCTACTCGAAATGGCACTTCTATGAAAAAGCCTCCATCTCCCAAGAAAGACGACAAACCCTCTTTGGACAAAACGACAAGTGAAGCTCCAAAGAAGAAAACCGCTAAACCTGCTTCGACCACAATGACCTCAGTTAAACCTAGCGCTAAACCCAGCGTCAAGTCCACCTCCGTCAATGCGAAGCAATCTACAGCTACTACTGCCAAACCAGGAGCAAAATCTAAATCTGCTTCTGACACAGCTGCACCAAAGTCTGATTCAAACACTAAAGCAACAACCACTGCTTGCAAGAAATCTGCAACAAGAGAAAAAGAGACAGAAAATGGGAATGGCAAAGTGAATGTAGTGCCTGTTAAGACCGATGATGAGGAGCAACCTATGGAAGCATTATCAATCGAGAAAGATGGAATGCAAACCGAAAGTAAAGCAGTTGGGGATTCTTTTGTAGATGTTCAAGAAAATGATGAAAGAACAAAAAGAGTTGAAAAGAGCGATGTCCAAACAACTAAATCCGGTCCTCAAGTAAATACTGAGATGTCTAAAACTGCCATAGATGGAAAGCAAAAGCCGCTATCAAGTTTTTGCAATGACACTAGTTCACCGAAGGAGATTGACCGCCACTTGACAGGCACTCCTTGCAGTATCGGTAGCACTCCTTTGGAAGACTCTTGGAGCAGCATGCACGCTCAATGCACCCCGGAATCTGAAACGGGAAGCCAGGCGACCTCCTCCGACGACATCAAACCCCGATCGGAGGACTACGACGCGGGCGGATCTCAAGACGACGACTTTTCCAACGACAGGGGCGTGTCCAAATGCGGTACCATGAGGTGCCACGATTTCCTGGGCAGAAGTAGCAGCGACACCAGCACGCCAGAGGAGCTCAAAATGTACGAAGGCAGTTTGAGAGTGGAGGTGCGGATGAGGGGGAGAGACATGGAGACGACGAGCGACGAAGAGGCCGTGAGGCAAAGGCCGCGCTCCTGGCTGCATCGGGACGAGGTCGCTGCGGCGGAGGAGGAGCATTCTGAGGTCGAAGCCACTGTAACGGTAGATTCAGCTTTTACTTATTTACTATGATACAATGCTTATTCCTTCAACGATTGTTTTTATTGGTGCTCTACCACAACCATCCCAAACAAATGAAATAAAGACTTTCCAGATGCAAGGAGCTTTGTTGTAAAGATACAACAAAGTATCGGCTTTGTGTGGGGCAGCGTGGTGTGAAGCGGCGTGGTGCAGATCCGCTTGGTGCGTGGCGGCGTAGTGTGGGGCAACGTGGCGCCGGGTAGTGCGCTTGGCGCGGGGTGGTGCACGTGGCGCGGGGTGTTGCGCGCGATGTGGGGAGTCGCACGGTGAGGCGAGGGCCGTTCGACGCCGCTTGCGGCTTTAATTATCTATTATTTCTGCCAAGAACAGATTATTTACACAATTCCTAATAGTTTTGTATGCAATTACTTCCAGGTTTAAATAACATCTCACAGCAAGTGTTGAAGTTTGTTTTGAAGAGAAGTTAACGATTAATCAATAATTAAAATTGCTGTCAATGATTGAAAAAATTATTTAATTGTTACAGCCCCACTACATAGTATAATCTCTTGTTGAAAGGTTTGGATAATGATTATACATTTTAATATGCTATCTCGATATTTATTTAATGATTGATTGATTGATTATAACTAAAGGGCGTTAGAGCCTTTTTATGTTTTGTTGAAAGTAATTCACTTGGAAGTCCTTTACACTTAACTCTTTAATCCGTTTTCAATTCAATTTGAGTTTTTTATAGTTACAGTATAAATAAAGTATTGTAAAGTACTCGTCTCAGAGTACTTTAGCCATTTTTCCATAGGGAGCGGGATCACCACAAATTTTAATCTCTTGTTTGATAGGTCAAGAGTGTTCCGGATCATCAGTTATTTTCATCTGAGGAAGAGGAAGAGGAAGAGGAGGAGGAGGAGGAGGAAGAAACGGAAGATGAAAAATCAGAAGTCGAAGTTATCCCCAAAGCGGAAACCTCTCCACTTTTTCAAGGAATTGTGAACTTGGCTTTTGACGACGAAAGCGCAGAACAGGAGCAGTACCAGGCATCAAATTTCCGTCGGTCTGTGTTGCTTTCCGTGGATGAATGTGAAGAACTGGGAGAAGAAGGTGTGGAAACTGCCCAGCAGAAGCCACAACCAGCTTCAACGCCCTGTGATGTTTTCGAACCAGACGCGACAGTCCACAAAGAGGAGGAGGAAGAGAAAGTCGGCCATCTTGGAATTTCACCGGAACACAATACTATCGAAAAGAATGACAAGTCTGTTTTTCTCACTGAACTCCAGGAGCAGGTTAATAATTCCCAAGTAGACATATCCCCATGCCCTTCTCAAGACCCACCCCAGGAGCGACCGTGCCATCTCGATTTACGAAGCACAGAACACTACAGCAATGGATCGCCACGTAAAAACCCCACAGAAAGCAAGAAAGCTGAATTACATCTAGAGTTACATGAAACTCAGCTGACCTCACAACATGGTGCACAGTCTCCATCAGGTAATGTATAAATATCCACATGGATCCCTCCCAAATTATCCTTTTAAATCCAATGCCATCCTTACTCCCCATAGATTAAGGTTTAGTTTGCAAAATGTAACCCTCCTTTTTTGCACTAGCCTTACCTCCATTACTCTCCCCTTCTAAAAAGCATATTGGCTTGGTTAATAAAAAAGTTCAAATTCAGAGCTTTCATGGCTCGCTCACATCTCAACCATCTCAACCTTCCAATGTTTACAAAGGGGTGCATAATATTCCTGATTCAGACAAAGAGCAGTGCTTAAATTTAGTCAGAACCTCATTCAGAATCTCTGTTAGTCCCACGTCAAGGCTTATGCAGAATGCACGGAAATGTGTTAATTATTCAGATTTTTATGTGTGACCATCCAGCGCTGCTGCCCGTGTCTTGTAAAATAAAATCCTGCATTAAAACAGAGCAGGCGAGGTTATGGAAATGAATGCAATATTCTTTGTAGGAACAGTTTAGACTCAGACTGCTCTGATGCAGGAGGAGTGAGATCTAGTGATCTCCAGGAGCAGCTGTGAACATCCTGATGCCATTCATGGATAAACACACATAGTACATTTCTTAATGTGCTCTATCGTCCCAAGTACAGTGAATATGAATGCACTGCAGTCACAATCAAACTTAGATATATTTAAAATGTATATTGTGCATTCCTATTGTAAAAATGAATTTGAATTTACAACCCAACTATCCTTTGAAGATTGAGACCAGGCTCCTCACGTCATTTCCACTACAGTAGACATTTAGTGTCAGTGAAAGTAACGTTAAACAAAAGTGAATGCAGTGTAATGTGCAACAAGACTGTAATTAAATTACATTAAAAAATGCCTTGTGCCAAGGCTCTGACATAGTACAACATGCACTTTTATGTACATAAAAATAATTATTTTTTCATTGTTTTGACCAGTGCAGCGAGCGTGGTTAATATGATATGGTTAAAGGGACTTGATGCTGCATTTTAACATCAACAGTTCATATTTGTTTGTATTTGTCATTATTTATGGTGAGTTACGCTGAAATTTGAATGTTATTATTACTTTAGTGTTTTGTTTTTATTATAACTAGGATCACATAGGAACTGTCCCAGCCACTTGTAGTTATTCCATTGGTGTCTGAACTTTTCTCAGGGGCAAAATATTATTGTACTGACAGCACTTGAATTGCATTTTCTTTTCAATGAACTATTGATGTTAAACTGCTTAAACAAACTCAGAAACCTGTAACTGAACAAATTGGACCAAATGAGTTCCACATATGAAGAATGTGACTGCCACTGCTTTTCCTTCATTATCTGAAGATCATCCCCATCGTTGTTTCTTTTGCACTATGCATGCAGCCATTAAACTTGTTTTACACCTTTTATGTTCTTTGTGTTCTTCGTGTCATACCCCGTAGACCGTTGATGACTTCATTTCTAGTGTAGAGTTTGAGTAGATATTTTTTGTAGCCTCTGTCTGTGTAGTGCGTGAACTGTCTTTAGATGTGTCTCTTTTTTCACTGGTAAAGCCAGAAAGGGGAAAGCACCTATTATAAAACAGTGTAGTCTTGTTGTATTATATTTGAATGACATTTCATCTTTTCCATACCCTAAACATAAAAAAAACAAATATCTTTTTGACTTAATAATATTGTAAACTATTTTTGTGCCTGTGAAGCACGATTGTTTGCAAGTTTTGTGCAAGTTTAGTCTTGATATTTTACTACTTGAAGATATATTGTTTTATAAGAACTGCAACTTCATTGGTGCTGCTGGCATTACAGTGTATAGTTTATTTTATGTGGACAAAGAGATACTTTCTGAAATACCCCTTTTGTGTGGTTTACCTTTAGGGCAACTGCCTACCTTTTTGAATGGTTTAGCAGGGTTATTAACAAAACAATCATACAATGTACTTTCCTCATGACCATGAATGTCAAGATATGACTGTATTGTAAGATAACTATCGGGCAGCAGTTGCATTAAGGGTGCATTTGACTGTTTTTGTGTTATTTTTCCTGGTAAACTCCCCCCAAATTGTCTGAAATTACGGACTTCTTAAAAACAGCTTGTCATTTGCAGTATTGTCAATTATTTTTAGGGCACAGTACTTGTCAAAGAACGGAAATCAAACATGACCGCCGCCCATCCAACAAAGCATTGTCTCCCATTTACGAGATGGATGTAGGGGAATCCTTTGAGAACTGCACGCAAAATTCTAACCAAGAAGACGAGGAATCCGAGAAAATAAACAGTGAATTTGCAGAAAAAGACTGGAGCTTGCTTAGACAACTGTTGAACGATAACGAGTCCAGTCTTGGTGTCATAAACCCAGTGCCAGAGGAACTTAATTTGGCACAATATCTTATCAAGCAAACACTATCCCTGTCCCGGGACACTGTGGACACGCAGGCTTTTCTATCGCCTGAAAAAGAGTCATTTAAGAAGTGGGCAGAGCTGATTTCGCCCATGGAGGACTCGTCCACCAGCATCACAGTGACGAGCTTCTCCCCAGAAGACGCAGCTTCACCGCAAGGCGAGTGGACCATAGTAGAGCTGGAGACGCATCACTGAGAAAAGCACAGTCAAACGGGGTGACCACCCAAGAGTTCATTTGCAAAACGTGATGTAGGCCTATTTACAGGGTTTCTGCTGGGCCTTACAAAGTTGTAGTTACACTTAAAGCTGGGGTAAATTTCAAAATATAATAAAATACTAGTTTTGTGATCTCAAAATAGTTTGCTACTATTACATTTTGACATTGATATTTGTAAGCCTCTGTCACACTTTAAGATCACCACAGGGAAAAGGAGAGGACCACTCTTGCTCAGCCAATCAGCTCTCTGCCCAAAGCTTCAAACAGGGATCGTTCTAACCAGTATGCAAAATATAACATGTTTTTTAATAGGATGAAGAAGGCATGTGGTACTTTTGTAAAAGTCTTTTATGTTCAGTACCCCAGCTTTAAATTTGATTATTAAGCAAATTTTGCAAAAAGTCTTATTTCTGTCATTGGAACTAGTCAAGGAACACAATGATCGGGTCCTTGTTTATACGGTTTGTCTGGTAATGGGATTTTAGAAAAGTCCTGTCTAGCTACAAGTGGATTTTTTCTATATTGTTTTGTCTTAAAGTCTTTAGACATATTAAATTTGACTTATCCTTGCAGAAACTCTGTATTTATGTTTATAGTATTTGTCTTTTCGTGAAGCTATACTGATTATGCCTATTTCATCAGACTGTAATTGAGTCCTTATTAACTAACCAACTAAGTTATTACTTTGAAAACAAAAACTATTTTTGAAGGCATGGTTAGAAGTGTTGAGGGAATTTACTCATGGAATCTCAAATTGCACTAAACAGATTTGGTAATAAACAACACAGTCGTAAGCCTTTGACTATTATTATTTTCCCACCATCAAAAGGAACTTATCTGTTTTTTGTAAATTAGTTCTTCATTGTCTCAGTAACAAACAGAATAAGAACATTCATAATATGCCAAAATGTGCTTTTATAGACCTAAACATTGGACAATACAATGTTTGCTCACAATCACTTGCTTATACTGTTTCAATGTGCAAAACAGAATGGTAAATGAAAACCTGGGAAAAAGCTATTGATATGATGCGATTATAATTGGTGGTTGCCCTGTACCGAAATCAGTGACATTGTTGACGCCTTTAATAATAAAATGTCTTAATTTAATAATATGAACAACAGCCATTTTATCAGTAGACCTATTTGAAATTAGATCTCAGTGGATTTTTCTTGAAACAACAAACCTAATGCATGCAGATATTTTTGTATGTTTTGAATGTTCAATCTATAAACCAACAAAACTTTTTCTCATGAGCATTCTCTCTAAAAAGTTGATTGAAGTTTCTAAAAAACATTCCTATCGGCTTGTTTGTGTGATATTTAAATAAAGTTCATGTTTCCTGGATAAAATGCATTGTGGTAATCTGTTTGTTTATCCATGCGTGTGACATAAAAGTGTAATTATACTTTACATTATGAAACCATTGCCATAACGGCAAATCCATGTTTACATTCTCCGTACAAGACATATAACATTATGTTTATAGATCTATACATAGTTCCCACAGACCAATGAATGTCACATGACCTCCTCGGAGACGCCATCTTTGATGGCACGCTGCTGTGTTTGTGCATTCCATTAAACAGAAGAATGAGAATAAATGTAGATATTCAAACGCAAATTGGGAAAAAAGGGCAACTTTTGAGCAAATAATTGTATATTAATACAATGGCACCACAGTTTAACGTGCTACGGACATGTTATACATATTTGATCAAATTATGCAGCAAAAATTAACAAGCAATGCATACATTTCTCAAAAACTTTAGATTTAATACCAGTTGGAGCTCCATTTAATTATTTTAATTATATTAACAATTAATTTAATTAATGCTAATGCCACACGGACACTCTGGATTGCTGTTATTGTTTTTTTCCGCGTTTTTGACCATATGTTTTGGTGAATGGTGGGCAACTGATTTTTCCAGGCGTAAAGAGCAGTTTATTTTATGACACAGATCTTTTTACAGAAGCAATGCTGTTTGTGAACATTGTTTTAGCCCACCATAGAACTATTATTATCTATTTAATACATTTACGTTGCCCTCGAGAGCCTCGGACGGACACCGATCCTCCTCATAATAAAGTAATCTAACGCTAAATAATGAAACTCTCAAGTTACCAGCTATCAGCATACACAAGTTAGTACTGAGTAAATTACGTCTGTCAACACATTATAAGATACGATACGCACCTGACACAAAGTGCTCCGAGCATATTCTTGCGTGTTTTGAGGGAGTTTCTTGCCTGTTTATCTTCGCAAGCCATAACCTCCGTGGTTGTTCTGACAAAAGCTTAGTCTTCTCACATTCATGAAGTCTAATGATGGGTATACTGTAAAATCCAAGTTTAACTGAACCTCCGGCACGATTAGAACATCCATTGACCCAGCAGGAGACGACCATTTTCAACTTTATCACACGTTTCAGCTTCTTCTTCTATTGTTTTGCCCACAGCATGCCAGCACAAATGGCGCCGGGTCGGCAAATCCCCGTATGTAGTGACGTCATGTGGGAACTATGTATAGATGATTCTGGATTAGCTACTATCTGGTTCGAGTTGGATCCTTTAAACAGAGCTCATTCATAAATCTACAATGAAAATTGAATGAAAACTTGTTACTTTAATAATTTACATTAGTAAATAATAAAATTGTATATATTTGTTTGCAGCGATTTTCTAATTCAAATAAAACTCAAATTAGATGCTGTTACATACATTAACGGTGGGGCCTTGAAACTTTTAATTTAAATCTATATACAAAATATTTTCCAAAATGCTCTACAGGAGTAAGCAGTAAAATTGAAAAATAAAATAAAGGTCAACCTAATTGCTAAAAAAAAAATGTGCCGCGAAAATCCAAATGTTGACGCATTATAGATCCATGGCAGAAAAGCGTTTAACGCCATCTTGTGGACAAATGCTGAAGATTGTCTACTGCGCCCTCTAGCGGAACATATTTTTCTTTCATCTCACGGGGGACAACTTTACTTGCGTTCATCCAAAAATCATTTGGTTCATATTAAATATGGCAGCACAGCCTGATGAAGAAAATGTGACTGAGTGGAAGACAACTATAATAGTCAGCAATTCCCTTGAGGTAACGTTTAACAGTAACGTTAGCTAACTGACGTTTCTGTATAACGCTAATAAGGAAGGCGTTTGCTAATTAGCTAAAGAGTGCGTGCTAATTAACGCCGGTTTACTTACTTACAATATTGGCAAGTATGCAGATTAAAGTTAAGTTTCTATCATGAACGCTAGGTACATAGCTTTGTCATTATTCATATTTATTTTGACCACTGTCTGTGTTCAAGTCTCTCAGCTCCTGCTGGTGCCCAGAGTCAAGACTAATCATGGGGAGGCAGAGTTTCAGATTTATGCAGTTTAGATAGATAGATATTTTTTATCTATCTATCTTTAACTTTATTGATCCCCGTAGGAGAAATTCAGGTGTCCAGTAGCAGCAAAAATAAAAAACATAATGATAGTAATAATCAGCAACAGCCTTTTAGGTCACAGCAGCACAGATGGAGTACCCTCTGGGTGGAGCAGGACGGGTCACAGCAGCACAGATGGAGTACCCTCTGGGTGGAGCAGGACGGGTCACAGCAGCACAGATGGAGTAGCCTCTGGGTGGAGCAGGACGGGTCACAGCAGCACAGATGGAGTAGCCTCTGGGTGGAGCAGGACGGGTCACAGCAGCACAGATGGAGTAGCCTCTGGGTGGAGCAGGACGGGTCACAGCAGCACAGATGGAGTAGCCTCTGGGTGGAGCAGGACGGGTCACAGCAGCACAGATGGAGTAGCCTCTGGGTGGAGCAGGACGGGTCACAGCAGCACAGATGGAGTAGCCTCTGGGTGGAGCAGGACGGGTCACAGCAGCAGAGGTGGAGTAGCCTCTGGGTGGAGCAGGACGGGTCACAGCAGCACAGATGGAGTAGCCTCTGGGTGGAGCAGGACAGGTTGCAGCAGCCCATATTGAGTAGCCTCTGGGTGGAGCAGGATGGGTCAGAGCAGCATAGATTGAGTAGCCTATAGATGGAGCAGGACGGGTCACAGCAGCAGAGGTGGAGTAGCCTCTGGGTGGAGCGGGACAGGTCAAAAGGTGGAGTTCCCGCTTTATTCGGACCATTTTCTCTGCTCTAGTCCAATGTAAAATGCGAAATGCTTCATTAGCATTTTTCAAAAAGTCAGCATTCCTCCAGTGCATTAGAATCAGAATCAGAATCATTTTTATTGCCAACGTAAGTAACGGGAGGTCACAGACTTGGAAATTGCTTTGGCTCAGTGCAACAGTCAAAAAGAGATAATAAAAATAAGAATAAAAAACACTTCTAAAGAATAAATTTAAATTTAAAATAGAGTTACAGTTACTATTTACAATATACAAGTGCACATGGTGCACACAATGTAAGGTGACAGCGGTACAGTGAAGTAAAGTGACGTATGATGGGCAGTAAAGTGACTTTATAAAGGGCGGGGGGACAGGTTAAGAAGTGTTCAAGAGTCCAACAGCAGAGGGGAAGAAACTGTTCTTGTGGCGGGAGGTTCTAGTCCTGATGGACCGCAGCCTCCTGCCTGAGTGGAGTGGTTGGAATAGTCCATGTGCAGGGTGAGAGGGGTCGGCTGTGATACGACCAGCCCGGCCTCGAGCTCGGGCGACGTACAGGTCCTGCAGCGATGGAAGGCTGCGGCCGATCACTTCCTCTGCAGAGCGCACAATGCGCTGTAGTCTCTGTTTATGCAGTATTCCTGAAAATGTGAGACCAGCTTCTACTCTGACAATGTTCAGAGTTGAAGCCGTTATATGAGCTGCCTTGTAAATGGACTGCGCCATACAAATAAACTGGCTTTGCCTTGCCTAGAGCCATGACTCTGTTAAACTACTAAGATCTCAACAACATCGCATCAGATTCACAACTGGTGTGGAGGATGGAGCCTTTATTTTCCCACTCTCTGGTAAGGCTGCTTTTCTTATCTTTTATGTTATGAAATGTAATGAAACAATCTTCACAGGATTTATTTTTTAGGTTATGCTTTGGATTTGTGTGAAGGGGGATATGTATATGGTAAATTAAACACAATAAGTAGACTAATAAAGTATGATTTCATGCAACCAGTCTGTGCATGGATCGATCAAGATAGCGTTAAATCTTTAGGTTGTAATGTATAAGAAACCTTTCCTCATATTCTTCATAATTCTGATGCAATAATTTAACAGCTGGATTGAAGAATTGTCTTGTTTACAGGTAATGCCAGTTAAAAGGAATTCAAACCATAAGACTTACATGGCAAGTTTGTGAATAAAACCCAAACAAATAATGATGGTGAAGATAGAAGCAGCAGATAGACAATTTATTGCTCCATAAAATTCAAGTATCCAATACAGTTGACACGTTAAATCATAAATAGTAAAATCTATAGGTAAAACATCTAACCCAGGATTATAAACATTGTAGAGGCTAACAGCAGCAGGGAAAACAGATCCCATAATGTGCAATGTAGGTTGCTACTAGTCTGACCAGCCAGACCCTCTACTTTATGACACATAGCGGGTCATGCTGGTTTCTACAATTTCTCTGAAGAGCCACTGTTGCTGGTGTGACATAAGAATAGTCTTTTGAAGAATGTGCTTGCATATGAGGACATTGTGTGAAGTAAGTAACGGATGAACAATGCCCATAAGTGTTATTAAATGTCATAGATCATCGCCACTGTTCTTTGACCCCCCCTGCATCGGCAAAACTGTAAACCATTCCCCTGCCTTTCACCTGAATTTAGATTTTCTGTGAAGGCAAACTATTCAGGCCACAAGTTTTTGTGTCTGTAAACTTTGTACACTCTTTTATTTAAAAATACCCTCTTATTTCACAATTTGAGTCCAGAGCTGCCTTGTGTCTGTTGCAGGGATTGCGTTTCTGTTGGTTGACCTCCAACAGTCTCTGCACCAAGACGCTGTTCTTGTGGAGAAACTAAATAAATTTGTTCAAGTCCATCGTAACTGCTTTGTGCTTCTTTACACCCCTTTCAACGGACCCAGAGAAATGCAGACCGTCTCCCTGATTCAAAACAGGTACACAGGACAAGCAAGTTGGACAAGTAACTAGAACTGGATCAAAGAGTATAGAAGTACCAAGAGGCGAAACTCAATAGTTATCGCTACTCTTTGAATGGATTTTAATTCAGTTTGTGAATTAAAAAAGTTTGCGTTGCAGGACCATGTAATAGTTCTACACTATATATCTGGACCTTTTATTTGTATTTGTAATATGTATTGCAACTAAAGCTGTTAATTGATTTATAAAGAGAAACAGTTATCCAGCATGATCTGTTTAAAAAGTGGACTAATTTGAGTTTTTGATAATGCTATTTTCATTCCACACGGATGATTGGATAATGGTTGCAAATCCGTATTGGAATCATAACTGAAAAATCAAGATCACTGCATCTCTATCTCTAAACATCATATCATTTTATTGATTCTTATTGTATAGGTTCTTTGGGAGCAAGTTACGGATCCTTCCCGTGAGAAACAACACTGATATAGTGAAAGGGATGCTCACTATTGCAAAGGTAAGTACTTTAAAACAAACAAGTTACTCTCTTTCTTGATTGCACTAAAGCTGGACATACTTTTAGGCGACTAGTAAACCTCACGTGGACCAAATTCGGGACCGCATGTCACTGGTCCGGGCCCATATCATAGAGAAGAGCCCTGTGTGGGAGATGCTCCGAGACATGCTATAAAACAAAACAATCTGATTGTTGCATTATTTCAAATGTAGTTGATGACTGTGTTATTTTTGTATGCTAATAAAGTCCTACACAACACTTAGAGACAAGGAGTGTAATATAATCTCCGCCTTGCATCCTTTAATCTGAATGATGCCTACTTTTGTTTGTTACTCTCTATAATTAGTAGCACTGTCAAAATCTTACTGGTGGTGATTATAATTCAGAGCCAGGTGGTCAAAGATATGCAATACTATGAAAATGAAATACTGATAACTCCTTATTTCTCCTTTGAAATTAAATTGTACTTATGTTTTAAAGTCCTTTTGAATACTTAGAATCTTCTTGGCCACTTATCTATCCCCAGCGCTTACATGTCCACACAGCTTGCTGAACAAATGGTGAGGGTAGGAAAAGACAAGAAGACTGGTTTTAATCAACAAAATATATAAGATTTTACATAGGCTTTATCCTTTCCGCTGTTATCTCCTCAATGCGGAAAATAAGGCTCTCCATCAGGTCGAAAGTTACCATGGCACTCTCTAAAACCTGAAACAAATGTGAAATACAGTCAAACAAAAGCCCTCACAGCAGATCTATGATTTAATTATTGTCACTGTAGAAATAGGAAAATGATTCTTGACCTGGTGCCGGACCTCTGGAGGCAGGCTGGACACTCTCTCCTGTTTGTGTTTGATTTTCAGGAGTAAAGCCTTGTCTTTGGCTGCTGCTCTGATCTCTGGAGTTAGAAAAAAAAAAAAAACAGGGAGGTTTAAGTTAATTTTCATTTTGTTATTAAGTCATTGATATGTGTACACAGTGTACTTATTTTCATTAGAAATTGTGTTTTCAGCCTCTTGTATGGTAGCTGTGGTCAATGTGGTATTATTATTATCTTACCTTGAGCCATCAGTTTGCGATCCTCCAGCTGGGATTTGAGTTCAGAGGTGTAGTAAGCTCTGGATAAACTGAGACAAACTCGCAGCATTTTGAGATACTTGTCTCTCAACCTGCACAGCTCTGTCCACACTTCAGTCTGAAAAACACAATATGAACAGCAACGTTATTTATTTAAATTTATAGATGCTGCATAGAAATCTATTTCCAAACACATGCACGCACACTCGCACACACACAAACGCACACAGAGAGACAAGCAGAAATACCTGAAGATGTTTTGGAAAGCCTTCCATACTCACATGAATTGCTAATTCTTTTCCTCGAAGAAGAAGGTACCGCAGAAGATTTAGGCTTTCGATGATTCTGGAGATCAGAAAAAAATGACACTTTATTCTTTAAAAACTGGCACTAATACGAGAGATCATACTTGCATCATGATATCTAGTTTTGCTTGAGTGATGCATTCTCCAGTCTACACTGTTTGAAGAAGGGTTCTCCAACTGTTTTTCCCCTGGAGAGCTACTTCTTGAAAAGTCAATATAAAAGTAATGACATGCCTCATATGGGATACTGCACAAGGTCAGTACGCATTTACAATAGTAAATTCAGTAAATCATGTGTAATTTAGAAATACTTTGAAAAGGGGAAACCTTTTTAAGACAGCCTTTTGATAAATGTAAAAAGTACTTTTTCTGTAATTATTCAATCAAGCTGTATTTCAGACTCAAACAAGCTCCATAGAAAACATGTAGAGTTTGCATATCTATGATGATCACTAGCTGTAAATATTGTTTCTGATGTCACTTACTTGTCCATGTTGTTGAGTAGATCTGTTTCTGGACCCTGAGGCAAACCAAGCACGAGCCCCAACAACGGTGAGAGCTCAGGACCAAGGAACCATTTATTTTCATTTTCAGACTGCATAACAAAAACCAGAACTCAACAATACACCCAGACATTGAAAAACAATAATAATAATAAAAAAAGCATAAATCAAACGTTGTTTTCTTTACCTTTAGGGAGAATTCAACTTCATTCCTGATGTGTTTCACTATGAAGCCCTCTATGCCCGAGTGGTGGCAGGTTTTTAACATGCATCTGTAATAGAGAGAGATATTCCATAAACTGAGCATTGCAGAAAGGCTTCATGACATGTCGTACCTAAAAAACTTGTGCTTGGCTTCAGTGTTTAATTTGTCAATGAACAGCTGTAAAATCTGGAGTCCGTTTTCTTTCTGGGGGAAACAATTCTATTCAATATGTGCATATTTGTTACTTTATTTGGTGAAATAATAATAGTTTTACACTTATGAAGCCACATTTTAGAAAACATTTGAGCTATTACTAATGATGCACAGATCCAGCTAATCCTGATACTATGGCTTTCAATAATATATATTTAATTTAATACAATTACATTTACATACAAATAAATGTTTACTCCATTAGATCAGTAATAATAAGTATTATTATTTCTGTGTACACTGGGGGAGTTTTGTCCCAGTTTATTACACAGTTGCTAGATTTACTGCCTTTATTATTGTGTGCTTACCAAATGTTTAATTGGGCACTCTCGCAGAATACAACAAAGTTTCTGTAAAAAGTAAAAGCAAACGAAGATTTGAAAAAATATATATAACAAACATATAGTTTTTCATTACACTACATTTACCTGTGAGACACTGCAGAAAATGCTGAGTTCTAGCAGTTTTACTGAGAGACTGCGATCCTCAATCGTCTCCAAGCTTTTTGTGTAAAGTTCCTGAAACATATTGCACACGTTGTCTTGATTTCATCTTTGTATCAAATTTTGTCAAGGGCTAGGAATGTGTCTTACCATTCCTTTGAGCAAGTAGGATTCGTTTTTGCTGCAATTAAAGGTAACATTTAGATTTTTGCATGAAAAGTCAGCACTTATATAGGCTTACTTACCTACTAAGCAGTTGGTCAATATACTGCATGTTTCCCTGGAGAATAAATGTGGGGCTGAAAGTAAATTGGTTGACAATGTCAGAGAGGCTATTCATATTCAATACTGGTTATTTTATTGATCTTCTTATGTTTCCATAGGGTAATAATCGGGATGCCTTTTACCTGAATACGGCCGGGAAGCTGTCTGTTGAGATCTGCTGGACAAAGAGCAAGTAGGCCACACACGCTCTGGACTCTACACACTGTTCGTTGTTCGGGATGTATTTCCTCAAAGAATTGAAGAATAAAAGTTCTGGGAGCGGTTCTTGGACTTCATAAAGTGTCATCTATAGCAAAGTTTAGTTAGTCATAGGCGTCTGACAAATAGAAGAGGTGTTTTGTACCATTATATAATTTGCGAAAAGCCAAAGTGGAGATACTCGGCTCTTTTCCAGTTGCGCCTCAAGTAATGGCTCCCTCAAACTCCTCATGCAACTGCAAACAGATGGGGTTAGAATGACTTTATACTGTATATTCAGATTTTCAGATTCAAGGTAATTAATTGTAGTTTCCTAGGATAACTTTTGTATATATATATTTTTCTTTCTTTTCCATTACAGAGACAGAAGCGAACAATAGCTCACTGCTGGTGTGAATCAACTTTATTATTCTATTCTACTATTGATACAATAAATAATAATAAACAATAAAGGGGAATATTTAATTGAATTCCATGGAAGCTATAGTCTTCAAAATCTATGCATAATACATTAATACAGATATATTATATCTCATCATTCATAGTTATCATTCATAAAGTTTTATTCTATAAATGTTGTCCCCAGTAGACATCGAAAGAGACTTAGAATATATAAAGAAACTTAACTTGTGTCAGTAAATGTAAATAAGTGCTAAATTATGGTGTGTAATTTGAAATCCATCTCTATTCTTTCCCTATGCCCCTCTAAAAACTTACAAATTGAGTATTTCCACTCGGAGCCCCTCGTCCTCTTTGCTGGTGACCCATTTGCTGCTGTTGAGTTTCACCTTCTGCACAAAGGGCCTGGTGAATGCGGCCAGAGCGGAGCAGCAGGCTCCCAGGCCATAAGGGTCCTCCTGCTCCTGGCTGTAGGGCACCGGCAAGCGACACAGTTGAGAGTGCAAGGAGGACAGGCATAGCCCCAGAGAGGAGGCCTGGTCTGTGTCGAGTCTGAGCAGAACTGGGAAAATGTGAAAAGGAGGAAAGATTAAAACAGATAGAACAGGTAAAATCAACTTTTCACAGCTTCATTTTTTTTTTTTTTTTTGACCCAGAAATAGATTAAGGGGAAGAAGATGGATGGATAGATGGATGTTATCAAATCAATGTATCTTTGTACTGCCCGAAATCACCACAGCAGTTGTTGATGTGTCGATAGAAGATCAGGACATCAAACTATTTAAACATTTATTGGACTATTGAGAGCATCAACCAATTAAATTACACTCTATGCATGTCCATGTGATTTATATTCAATTGCCCCTGCTGGCTCCTCTGAATGCCACCTCCACTACTCGCTCTTATTTTACTTGCTTTGGTCACTATTTTTCATTTTAGACTCTGTGGCAGAGTATTATGCAGGCACATTATTCTCAAAGTCAAAATCTGCAGATTGGTAACTTGGTCTGCGTTGCGCCATGATGTTTTTCTGTTGATTAGTTTGTACCATTGTTTAAGATTTATATTGAAACGTCAAATGTGCTAAATTTTGCTCATGTGCTAATGAGCAACTAGTGTTTTATTTAAAATATTTTGAATTCTATTATGGACTGAGGGCACAAGGGGGAGCCAAATAACACCATAAGAATTAAGTGGAGCGATATTGTTTTGGAAAATTGTTGCAGGTTCTGAGACTAAACCATAAAGTGAAAAGAAGCGCGTGATATCTGAGCCTTTTTAAGGACTTTTTTACTTTTATCGATTATGACAGAAGCCTATGTATTTTGAATAAAGGAAAAATCCAGATTTAGATCTAGTCTCCTATACCCAGATATACATATACATTTCCAATCATTGATACATACAGTATAATGTGTAATGTGTATATTAATCTAAAATAATATTTACCTGTTTGCAGATGTGGAGTGAGAATCACAATGGTTTCTGAGATGGCCCCTGGGTCAATGTCTTTGAGCAGCTCCATCAGACTCTGGAGGCTTTTCTTTGGACAGCAGGTCTGAAACGGTGATTGGACTAGTTTATTTTATAACATTGTTTTCCAGCTCAATATTGAAATATAACATAAATACTAGTATTAAATATAAAATAATAGCACATTCTACAGTTAGCACAAAAAACAGTCACACAGGAGATACACATGGAGGAGCATGTGTATCTCATGCAATCTAAATGTAAACACAGAATAACATTATTTTTCATTGGCTTCATTCAAATAATGATTTCATTGTAAATAATGGACTTGGAGAAGCGAAATCTGGAATTGACCTTTCAATACTTATCTACAGGTGGACAGAAGCATGTTGTGTTTTCTTTAGAATTTAGGTGGCGTCTGGTGTAGATTTACTTACCTGGGTCAGATATGTAAATGCAATTTCACAGAGATCTTGGTCTTTTTCTCTGGTGAGTATTTGACAGAGTAGTGGAGACAGAAGCGTGCAGCCCATAGACTTCACAATCATCTGAAAATTTTAAAGCAAAAACACATTTTATGAACTCCAATATTTTTGACTTTCATATTATTAAAACAAAAAGTAGCCCTTTAAAAAGGCATGTTGGTCTGAAATCAAATGTGAAATGATGTGTCCTATTTCTTGTATTGTGCTTTTAACATTGTTAGGAATTAATGCATTGACAATTAGTGTGCTGGGACAGATTCTTTTGACCATATGACCATAATAACAAATCTTTTTTTTCTTTGCCAATACATATACCATTCAAAATAATTAATTTACTATTTGGAAGTTATTTATATTGATCTATTCATCAATCTTTTCTGACCATTCTTTGTTAACACACATTATGGTTTTTATTATGGGACGTCCAAGGGCACTTAGAGGAGCCCTAAACGGAGGAGAGATCTCAGTGGAGCGAGAAATCAGACTGATATTTACTTGTTTTTACCCTACACCTCCAGGTCAGAGGTGAGTGCGTGCGTTTAGAGGCCCTAATGCTGTGCGCTTCTCTGGAGATGCGGCCCCTCGAGGCCTCTGTAGTTTTATTTGATAGATTCACACTGTCCCTTGTTTTTTCCTACGTTTGGCATGTGTTCTGATGGAGGAGGGCAACATATTATTTTATGTTAAAATCAATGTTGACAATTGTAAAATACATTTTAGAATCAAATCAAAGCCAATTTACTGTGTTAAACTTGTGACAATATTTAACCAAATGCAGCTTGCGTTTTGCATCTGATATTGTGGTTTTAAAGCCATGTTCTTACAATGAAAATACACATTTATTTTTCCATTACATGCCCAACCGTGAGTATGTGAATTTGTTAATTTTAGCTATTCATAAGGGGTAAATATTTTTAATTCAGGTTAAATGGTGTTAAAATCGCTGACCATTAGACTTGGACTGCATTTAACTTTGATTTTTGAATAGTTGCATAGTTATAGAGAAAGTGTAACATACCTTATTGTTGTCATCCTGAATGAACTTAAGAAGCTGTGTAGTTTGTCCCTGAGAGAGACAGGCCGATCCGATACTCTGGAAATGTTGGTAGTCCTTTAACTTTAGGTTGTCCTCTGGAGTGGTTCTCTTCAAACAAAAATGATTAAAGCAAATTTTTTGATAATAAGCGAGACTGTTCAAGGTAAGATAAAATAAGATACTGGTAAGTGTGGCACCTGGTTTTTTTTTGGTTCATAAAGAACAAATCTAGAGTACATGTCACATCAATGCTATGATATTTATTCACCCTTTGCTTATCTCCATGAAGATGCCATTGCATGCTTTCAGATTTTAATATCAAGGTTAACAGTAAATAATATTGGAAATGTTATGTTTTGAACCAAGTTCTGGGTTGGGAGGTAATGTAATATCTGAAGTGATACTTGAAACACAATGCAATACTTTATTTCAGACAAAGAAATAATTTCCTTTGGGACAAGCAGGTGGCAGTTTTCCAGAGAAATCTTGTTCACCTCTAATGAAACTATACTGTCTGGTATTAGTTTAATAACACACTTTGTATCTAGATACAATAGTAACAGCTGTGCATGGCCTCTGTAAGACTGGCTCACTTTGTTATTTTGCCAACATTGCAGTTGTAGCTCAAGCTGTGTGCTAGCATACGTCTGTCATGATCTGTATTATACATATGGAGACTTGTGTTGACTTACCCATTGCTGGATCATGTCCTTCACCTGCGCTTCATTCATCCTCCTTCAATCTAAGGCCAAACAATAGACAGGGAATCTGCTTTATGTCAAAACCAGTGTCTGTCCAAAGGCGAGTTGCAGAGGCGAGATTGAATGTTGTGAGCCACTGTGGCTAAACCTCTTATGGTCCTTTGTGCTTCGTGTGTAATAGGATTAAAGCAGAGCATGTCTATGGCTACAGCCGGCAAAGAAGTATGCAGGAGGCGCTACTTTCTGTAATTGAGATGACTTAAATTGATACTGATAATATACTGCTATTTAGTTTGAGAATATGGCTCAACTAAAATTATAATAAATAATAATGATGCATCAGTTTTATACAGCGCTTTTTGGACACTCAAAGACGCTTCACTTGTCATTATTCTTTCACTCCACACACGGTAGTGATAAACTACTGCTGTAGCCACAGCTGCCCTGGGACACACTGACAGAAGCGAGGCAACCTGTATGTGCCATCAGGCCCTCTGACCACCACCAACCATTCATGCACACACCAGACTCATTCTGGCAATGTGGGTGAAGTCTCTTTCCTTAGGACACAACGTCAGGTTGGCACTTTACAGCCGCAGTCGCCCCACTGCGGCACCCAGTGTTCCCAGAGGTCTCCCATCACAGAACTAACCAGGCCTGCTGCTATAGATTAAGATTAAGAACTCATTTAATTGTACCACAGGGGTTAAACCTCAGTGTTGCATCACCAGTTACAGAACAGTAGGAATGAGTAGCACACAAGATAAATGAATAACTCTATATTAAATTAAATAAAACACTAGCATAACAATAGGCCTTCATCACATGTAACCAATATCCCAAGGGCTTATTATTTTTTAACCGCCATTAATTTTGTTAGAGTTTGATGGATGGAACCAAAGAATCCAACTCTCTATATATAGCCATTCTGGTCCCAGAGTTCCATAGCCTTCTTGAGGCAAAACCGATGAGACAAATGTACTAACCCATCCTCCTCAATATTATTTTCCATTTACACCCAGTCGTCTCGGTTTAAAATATGATGCAGTATAAAAATGTAGTGGCTTTGTCATTGGCACTTTCATCTATCCATCTACTTCCTTATGCTTTATCCTATTGGGTGGTGGGGAAGTAAGAAAATCAAGTTGGGTATTTTTTTTTTCAATCGAACTTTTACTGGATGTAATTTGAGTACATTCAGTTGCCCTATTGTTTTTATGTCCCTGTAATTACACTGATGCACGGAGCTTGTTTTATGGAAAAGGATTAATCTTGTTTTCTCACTGGTCGTGTCTCAATGACAGCATATTGCTCCTCTGTATTTCAGCACAATGGCTTCAAAAGCACTGGGTCATCTTTGGCCCCCAGCGTTTGCAAAGAACATAATGGAGCAACAATCAGTGACATTGGCCTCGGGGGAAAGCTGCACCTAAATTCAGATTTGAAACCAACAGCTTCAGGTGGGTCGTAATTTTGCGCATATAATAACTTAAACAAATATGCATAAACTACTTTCAGTCCATACAACACAGCATAACCTAATTATGGAATTTCTCTTAAAAGGTTTAGGCAAGGTAAGTTTATTTGTACAGCACAGTTCATGCGCAAGGCAACTTTAAGTGTGTATCATACAAGGCATTAAAAACATTACAGAACATTAAAATTAGATGCAATCCTTCACATATATGCACAGCTAAACAGAACTGTTTTCATCCTGGATTTAAAAAAATTTCAGAGCAGAAGCTGGTCTCACATTATCAGGAAGACCGTTCCAGATTTTAGACGTCTAAATCTGAAATGCTGCCTCCCCATGTTTAGCTCTGACCCTGGGCACCTGTGCTCCTCAGATTCCGAGTTTGTTCATACAGTATGTCACTAACGTGTCACAGATGTTCTTCGGCCATACAGAGGCCGTAGAGAGACCTCATAAGCAGAGCTGCTTTAAAGTCTATTCTCTTAGCCAGAGGAAGTCAATGAAGAGATCTGAAAACTGGACTAATGTAATCTTTATCTATGAAAGTATTAATGTAATCATACTTTTTCAATATACTGCAGTTGTTTAAAAATGTCTTATTGATTCTAGCAATACAAGTATTTTTAGGTATGTCACTTAGCAACCATATATTAAACTGGGCATAGACTACTCTTAAAGATGCAGTAAATGTTTTATCTAGACATAATATTTTAAATACTGTGGGGAATCGTCCCTAAACCCCAATAGTAGTGAAGTCATCATTCATCCATCTCCATTCATTTTCTACCCCTTGATCCATTTCTGGGTTGGGGGGGTGGGGGTCAGAGATGCCACCCAATTCACAGAGCACCCAGCCCCTCACTGATCTTCCTGCAGGTGGTAAATCCAGGAGGACGGCTGCTCTGTGAGTGTGAGCACAGCTTTGATCTTTCAGTGGGGGCTTCAGGCAAAGTGGGGTTAAGTGTCTTGCCCAAGGACACAACGATAGCAGACCTCAGTGGGAGTCGGTGGAGAAGGTCTCGTGGTGCGCTCGAACCCACGACCTTCAGGCTCAAAGGCCAATTCTCTACCAACTGAGCCACTGTCGCCCCACTGAGTGTTTTCTAATAGGAATGGACATGACTAGTAAGTGAAAAGGCGGTATATAAATAAGTAAGTTTTTATTTATATACCGCCTTTTCACTGCAGATCTGAGTCTCAAAGCGGTTTACAATTGTTCATTTTGGGCATTTGTCTCTCACTCCACACAGAGATGGGAGCAGGGTCGCCAGTACAGGAGGCACATGCCAGACCTATTGGACATATTTTTAGTGGTAGGGGAAACCGGAGTACCCGGAGGAAACCTACGCAGACACGGGGAGAACATGCAAACTCCACTCAGAAAGGCCCTGGTCCGACCGGGATTCGAACCCAGGACCTTCTTGCTGAGAGGCGAGAGTGCTATCCACTCAGCCACCGTGCCGCCCCGACTAGATGCCTGTAGCTTCAAAAAAACATAAAATCCCCAACTTTCATCATATTTTATAATCTATCTTATACACTCCATAGTGCCAAATGTTATGTAGTCATTAGATATCCGCAGTATTTAAGAGGATATTAATTCAATGAGAGCAGAGGGGGGCAGGCAGCAAGTCAAAAATATGGCAATGTATTTAATCTATTTTATAAATTCAAATGTCAACTTTCATGTTTTACTCAAATGTGATTTAATTACTTATAAATACTACTACATAATGTTTCTGAACCAAATATAACTACCTCCGGTGACAACTGAGCTGCTCTTATTTGAACAGAAGGATTTGGACAACTGCGTGTGCTGTGGTGCTGTGGTTAGCGTTGACAATTGAAGTGTGATGAAAAGCTATAACAAAAGCCTGAAAGGTAAATACAGGACACAGAGCCGTCCCAGATTTAGTCAGGTCTAATGAGAGACTGTCGAATGAATTTGTGTGCTGTGGTCTCTGCTACAACACAGTTGTTTTATGTTCAACTAAAAAGATTTTTTCTCTTCAATATTTAAACTTTCTTTGAGACTAATAATAATAATACAAATATTATAATATTACCGTGCCTGGAATCTACTATAACAATAATCATACTCTTGAAGGAGAGCAGGATTTACAAAACCCAGGCAAAGCTTTCAAAAGTATGCATTATGGTATAGTTAATATACAATGTTATCATTATCATTATTTATTCCAGGCTCAGGGTCAAAAATAGACAAAGGGTATATAGTAGAAACATAAGATATGCTGATTTTTACAGCTGTTTCTTGACCTGTTGAAGCTCTTTTTTTCACGAACTTGACTCGTGACCTACATAACAAACGTCACAATAATTTGGACCCTCAAATTATGGTACATTAACTATTATGTTACTTGTATGAGGGATGTACTGTGACTGAATTTATCTTCACATACAGTGTTGATTCTGTATTATTATAAACATCGAAAAATTAAAAGCATATAAAAATCATCGTTTTGCGCTTCCTTGGAGATCCTGACCCTCATTTTGGGAACCCCTGCTATATGTGGCAAAGCACACAGCAGCATTTACATAGTTTACCTCTAGATGGCACTGTTTAGTGAGTCACACTGACAAGTGACCATAACCAAAATAACTCGGGTTGTAGACACTTCTTTTTAATTTAAAGTTAGATTAATTAAAGGGCATTTATTAAAGTTTCTCTAACCATGAAAATCCCATTAAAATGTGAGGAAGACAAATATTATGAAACAATGACTAAAAAGGTTTAGATTGAAGTTATTTTCCCTTACAAATTACGTGTACGTCACACTCAAAGTGTATACCCTAAAATATTATAAGAAGATGAACATAAGATTGAAAACATATTAAAATTAACACAAGATTCTTTCAGTTTTGTGTATTCGGCTGTGTGAACTGAACACTCCCAATGATATCATGTAACCATTTATATTTTATTGGGGAGATCCAAGAACACAAATTTGTTTTTTAGGCTGAAATTAAAACTAAATGGACATTTGTTTATTATGTTTTAGATTAATTTAACAAACATTTCAAGATTATATATTTTAGATTTGTAGTAATAGTGAATTGTCAGTGATACAAGAGATAAAAATAAGCTTGCATGTATCTTGTTGCATCTGTGCGTTCCATTCGGTGCAGTATTTATGGGGCAGTTTCAATACAAACAGCCAAGTCCTTTGAGAGCCCAGAAAACCTCTCTATTTTCCCTTTTCATCTTAGATTTCCTTGGTGACCTCTTAGAGAGCAAGAGGGTCTAAGTGAACTATTTATCCAGTCAGTGTCCCCCGGGGCCCTTCCAGCTCTGCCCCTGTCTGCCCAAAACCTCCCCAGGCACAAGCTGAGTTTGTCTGCCGTGTGCGAAGCCCATCTCTCGGTCCCTCTGCTCCAGCTCTCACTCCTAATCTAGCCACAGGAGTTTGATTTAATACAGGCCAGATTTACTTGACTGGATGTGTATTTTCCTGCAACCAATTACCAGTCAAAAATTATAAATATGTACATGTAAAAAAATGTACATGTACATATTTATAATTTTTTGCGAAACTAA